GTATGCATAAAAACTAAAAGTTTCGAGAATATTAAACATCAGTAAATTTCAGGAATTGAGAATTTAATTTTAATGAAACTTTTTTACTGATAAATCGAATTAAAATCTTTAATATATATAAGATCTAAATAAAATGAATTGTTAACATTCCCATCATTCTAATTTTTTTTCATTCCCGTTGTGTTGTCAAATAACTCACAGGATTCTTCAAAAACGTACACTTTTGACGACGACGATGTTAAAGTTAAAGCTGGGAAAAAACTTGACAAGAAACATGTTTCGCTTGTTTTATTACAGTTAGTGTAGTTATTCGTCCATAAGCATTCACAGAATTTCAATCTATTTTTATAAAATTAGATGAAATGTCAACTCAAAATTTTTGAATTAATGCGGAAAAAAATTTCATTAGGAAAATTTTTATTTCGAATCATTACTTTTAAATTAAAATCAAATAACAACACGTTAAATTAGCTACATTGATTTATTGTTATCTAAAAGAATCTGGTAGTAAAAAGATTAAGTAAATAATTAAAAATAAATAAGGAAAATATTATTTTTAAACAAAACATCTTTTGACATTGATGAAGTGACAAAGAAGCGTGTATGACGTAGATTTATGAGTTTAAGAACAACATCCTTTGTATGCAGGATACTTTTCTTGTGCTTTTCGATCAACCACAATGGACTGATTATCGGGATTATTTTCCTTGCCCGAAGTTTGATCAAGAATTGCTTCGGCTAACTCGCAAAATGCTTTCTCAATGTTGATGTTGGCTTTAGCGGATGTTTCCATGAAACGTATTCCATATTCTCGAGCAATCTGAAAAAAAAAAATATATCTTTAGGTCAAATCAAAAAGAATAAATAAAAAGTAATGAATTTACCGCCTCTCCTCGTTCCTTACTGACAATTCTCTTATCAGTCATATCACATTTATTTCCAAGAATCATTCTTTCAACATCTTCATTTGCATGTTCATCAATATTTCTTAACCACTTGACTATATTCTCAAAGCTTTTCTCGTTTGTTATGTCATAAACCAACATTATTCCCATGGCTATAAAATAATCATAAATGTAATCAATTAAAATTGTATAAAAATATTTTAAATACCTCCTCGGTAATAACTTGTGGTTATCGTGTGAAAACGTTCTTGGCCAGCTGTCTGAAATTTCAAAATAATTTCTTTAGATAAATTAATAGAGTAAATAATTTTAAAACATTTCGACTTACATCCCAAATTTGTAATTTAATTTTTTTTCCTCTCAACTCTACTGTTTTTATTTTAAAGTCAATTCCTGAAATGAAAGATTAATTATTTTTCGTGTTGTTTTATTTCAATTGAATAAATATCTGAGAATTGATAATTAAATAGTGATTATTATGATGGAAGTGGAATTATTTCTAAAACTTTTTCCTCCTTGCGGAGGTAAGCAGTATTTTATAAAATATTATTAATATTCAATAATTGAAATTGAGAATAGGAAAATTGAAAGGAATATCATCCCCATCACAATATTACCGCTTTTGCAAGCCTTAAAGTGGAAATTTGGGAAACTATTTTTATTTCTTAGAAACTTATGCCGAAAAATCTCCACCCTGAAAAGCACATTCTCGAATTGTAAACTTTTTTGTTAATTACTCTTACCTATAGTAGAAATGAAAGTAGAAGTGAACGCATCGTCACTAAATCTGAATAGAATGCATGTTTTTCCTACACCAGAATCCTGAAATAATGCGCATTATTCTTATCAAGATTTTTTGTTTCAATGTTAATTCTTTATCGTGCTGTTCAAAAGTTTAATTTAATTTTTCTGTCTAAATTATTACTTACACCAATCAAGAGAAGTTTGAAAAGTAAATCGTAAGTTTTCTTCGCCATAATTTCCTTTTCTTTTTACTAGTTATTAATTCTTTACTTGTGACATTTATTTTTTTTTTGTGAAAAATGTTTTGTTGAAACTTGAAAAATTTAAAAGTAAACATGGGGATCAAACTTTTAGGGGTGTAAAGATAGTAGCTGGTATAAAACTATGTAGAACTGGTAGAGAAACAAAAACAGAAAATAAAAACCTTAACTTGATGAGTGAAAAAATGTACTGTAAATTTATTTCACTTTTTGATGATTATAAAAAATAGAAACAATGAAAATGAATCCTATTTCTTCTTAGCATCCTTTAGTCCAGCACCGGCATTGAATTTAAAGAAAATAATGTCACCATCTTCAACCACGTAGTTTCTTCCTATAGTAATGAACAGATATTTTGTATGAGAGAATATAACAAAGAGATAAACTCACCTTGTTGACGATATTTTCCAGCAGCTTTGCAACTAGCTTCGCTTCCTTCTTCTTTAAAATCTTTAAAATGCATAACTTCAGCCATAATGAAACCTTTTTCAAAATCAGTGTGTATTCGGCCAGCAGCTTGTGGTGCTTTAGTTCCATGTTGAACTGTCCACGCCTTTACTTCATCTGCTCCAGCAGTAAAGAAGTATTCAAGTTGCAACGCTTTATAACCAGCTAAGATTATTTTGTCGAGGACTGACGGGCATTTGTTGTCTTCGATAAATTTGCTTCGTTCATTGTCATCCTCAATTTCTACCAATTTATGCTCGTAAGCACCTGAAAAAGGAATGATTGTAGCACCAGGATCATGCTTATCAACCCATTCCTTAATCTTCAGTAACCATTTATTCTTTTTTCGAATGAAATCTTTATCTGATAGATTTATCAAATAAATCATCGGCTTCGAGGTAAGAAACATGTATTTGTTCAAGACTTCAATCTTTAAATTAAAAAGAAAGAAATGTTAAAGAAAACGATGCACAAACTCATATATAATAACATACGTCATGTGATGACCAGTCATAGAAACGAATATGCTTCTTTTCTTCTAGCAAACATTGTTGAACTTTCAGCAAAGAATCCTAGATTTTTTAAAACAAAGATGAAGAAAGATTCAGATTATTTAATAAATATTACATACATATTCAGGCTTCAGTTTTTTATCGTTTCCACGGACAACCAACTTTTCCAACTTTTCAAGATTCTTATTCAAAAGTTCTTCATCTTTCAATCGAAGTTCTTCATAAATAATTTCTAAGTCTCGAACTGGATCAACTTCGCCTTCAACATGTGTAACATCAGGGTCATCAAAAGCGCCTTAAAATGGTAAGGTAAACGAAAAAAGAAGGATTGAAGTCAACAACTATTTATCAACTTTAAACTTTTATCTTACGACAAAGATGGAAGATACCATCACAAGCGCTAATATGTGAAAGAAATGCATTTCCCAATCCTTGACCTTCTGCAGCTCCTTTCACTAAACCAGCAATGTCTACGACGTTTAAAAATGCTGGAACTTTGCTAAAAATAAACAATTCTTATTATATATCGGTATTCGTCTAATTATTCTGCAAAATGTGCTTACCTTGCTGGTTTATGATATTCACAAAGAAAGTCGAATCTTGCATCAGGAACAGGCACTCTACTCTCATTAGGATCGATGGTACAAAATCTTAAAAAGTCATTCAATGAACACATAGATACACTTGAATTACTTTCCTTAAAAATTTGCAAAATATTTACGGAAAGTTTTCAGCTGGTGCTGCTGACTTCGTTAACACATTAAAGAAAGTCGACTTTCCTACATTTGGCACTCCAACAATACCAACTTTCAAGTTGGTTCCTACACGACCTATCAATGGTTTTTTTTCTGGTTCTACTTTCTTCGGCGCCATTCTAAAAATAGAAAAATAGGTTTTCAGAGAGGTTACAGCAATATATATTAAAACCAGAGAATTCCACGTTTAAACTAAATGTTAATATTTTGTGAAATAATTTATCGTTCCAATTAAATTTTTGTTTTAAATCATTTGAATCAAGTTTGATTGAATATAAATTTACATAAATCGGTGATATTTGCTTAGAATGTCTGTAAAAAGGAACATTTTTAGAAAGTGTATTGAACATTATTTCGTTGTATTTTCAAAGCAGATCATAATCGAAATACCCGTCTGTAGTTATAATATCACTGAAGTAAATGTTCTTGATTGTTTATTTTTTTTAATTCTTGTCTATTATTTTACAATTCAACTCTAACTGATAATCTAATTTTTACCTGAAATTTTTCGGTGAAAAGGAGAAGTTTACGAGACTGAGACCCCCGGCTTAAGGGTTACAAAACTTATGCTTGCATTAACGAATAAAATTTCTTATCCAATTAAGAAATGTGTTTCCACATTGTTTACTACTGATTAATAATTTTTACTTATTTAGACGAAATGCGTAGCTGGTTTTTCTTAATGTTTTTTACAAACCTCGAAAATTAGCATATTCAATTCAAGAACTAACATATCTCTTATCTAGTATAGTTCACTTTGCTAATTTTTTAATGAAGCCGGTTTTATCAAAAGTTCTTTTTAAAGTTTAAACTACTTTTATTTCTGTAAATTCTTTATTAAAAGTCAATCCAATAAATTAATATATAATGTTAGGTACTTTAACAAAAATTTATAAATAGATAATATAAAATCATTTGTTATTTTAGTGGATTCGTTACTCAGTTAAATTAAAGCTTTTCAACAGGTCAATAAAAAATTATTTTTTCAATAATTACAAAAACATTTTTTGTTATTCTGTCTTTCTGTTCCCTTTTTTATTCAAAAGACTATTGATAACCCTCTTCCTGATTTTCAACCATATTCTTGAACTTTCTCCTTCCATCTATGTACCAAATTGCTTCATGATACGTTTTTGGAATAACTTGTGGAAGTGGTTCACTAACTGAATACGTATAGTAAAAAGAATTCGATGTTGTTAAAGAGCCAGTAATTGGATCTAGAATTTCGGCCAAAACAACAATTTCCATGTAATTCAATTCTGTGTATAACACATGAGCTGACATGCTTATCAAAGAAGATACTTCAACTGGACGAAGGAAGCTTATATCACCTGCAATATATAATAACGATTACATAAACGGACAAAAGGAGTTTTTGACTTACTCATATGTTCCAATTTTGGTCGACGTTTAGAGAAACTATACGCAAGTGCCCATGAGAGTTCAAGACCATGACGCATCAAAAAACCTCCAAAAATTTTATTGTGATTATTACGATCTTCAGGATGTGAGAAAATGATGTTATTTAAGTCAGCATCTTCCATCCATATAGAATTTGATGGCAGTACTCTTTTATTAAATGCCTTCGATGAACTGTCTATGGATTTAATGAATAAGTCATGAATTAATTTTGTTTCAAATGCATTTGGTTCCGTCTTAAGCAGATCAAACTTCTGAATTGCTTGACGTCGTTTTTTACGACTTTCTCCACCTGCCAGAATGGCCTTTTCTTCTTCGTTTCGAGGCTCTAAAGGATTCACTATTGCAGAACGTATATTTGTAGGACCCCTTGCAGCCATAAGGAAAAGCGCTCGTGTAAGTTTTCGCCATTTTCCGACTTGTTTCTGCTCAAGCCACACAACAACTTCAATTGAACTTTTACCAACCCAACTGACGTGTCCAGAGAGACGAATGTCAGCATCCTGTTTTGCTTCAATGTCAGAAAAATCAATTTTATCTACGAGTATCGTAACAAAAGTATAAGGAAGTGGCACGCCTGGTTTTAAGTCAGGAATTAAAACATGCTGATGAACGATCCAAACAGCAAACAAATCCATGTCTTCCATAAGTCGACCATAGCGAACGTTTCCAAGAAAACCAATGTATTTATCGCGTAAGCCAATATCATTACTCAAAGGAATAACAGCAGAAGTGAAGCTATCTTGCATCGAACGAGGTGGAAGCTGGTCAACTGACGTTGGTGTTAACTCAAGAAGATGTTCTCGATTACTACTTATTGGATTGTAGCCTACTTTCAAACCCATCTTTTCAATAATTTTTGCTTTTACATCAGCCATTGTTCCTGCAGTAGCTTCAGTATTTGTTTTGTCTGTTGATAAAATTGTTGCCTGATCTCTTTCCAATGACATCATTCGGGTAGAACTGTCAAGGTTACAGGAAAAGAGTTTCTCTAAATAAAACTAATATTTGTATAATTTCACCTATGTAGTGAACTCACTTGTATGACATCATTGGAATAAATCTCATTGGATTTACAATACTTCTCATTTTAAAATTTTTAACATTATTAGCGAGAAAAATTGTTCTCGTTGAAATTTGAAATAATCTCCCGTTCATTTTGATAATTTTAGTGTTTTTCACTTTAAGATAATTTACACTTGTTCACTGATCTTTCTAATTAATCTTACTGCTTGAATATATGCATATGTATATATCTGGTAAAGAAATGAAATTTCAAAATCTTTTTCTATTGTTTCCCAAAAGAGGCATAATTGAATTTATTTCCGAAGGTGGATAAAAAAAAACAACAAGAAAGTTCAACAAAACGATCGATTTAAGGGGTACTTATGATTGTAATCAATCTATGTAGTACACTTTTAAAAGTAAACATGAATGGTGATGATAAGTTTCAAGACAATATAACTTGTGGAAACCGTAATTGGACTGATGACCTGCCCATTTGTCAATTCACTGGTTGTGGTCATTCACAAAATCAAGTATATTTACGGGATGGGCGCATAAAAGACTCACACGGAGATTATGAGAAAAAACTTTATTGTTGCTACGATCTTCACAAGTAAATCAAAATTATTTTGATTCATCACTTAATTTATTAACGTTATTTTTAGTTTTCTTTATTCAGTTTGTTCTGGATTCAATGGAGTGAGAGTGTCTGATTTTTGCTTGAGTCGAATGACTGCTGACATCTTGTTAGGTGGTGGAATTGCTGCTGGTAAATCTGATGAAGATATCAAAGAACTTTTGAAAACAACATTTCTGTCAGCCGAAAAAGGATATAATACTTCAATAGATAACCTGTTGGCGACGAAACAGCAACTTCAATTTCAAATTCTTGATCTATCACAGTACGAAATTTCACAGAAATACGAGGATGTGTTGAATCGTCTCAATGCAATAAATAAGGAACTGTCTATTGGATCGTCTGTTCTTATCGCCTTAATAACTAACAAAAAACTTTATATCGCTAATCTTGGAATTTGTAGAGCTCTTTTAGTGAAGAATGATGTTAAGAACGATGTTCTTCGTGTAATACAAGTAACGGTCGACCATAATCTTTCTAATGAAGATGAATTGCTGAGATTATACGGCTTAGGATTGGATGCGGGATCATTAAAACAAAAAATATCAACAACGAGATGCATCGGTAACTACATTGGCAAAGGTGGATACAAAGATTCAGAACTTTTATCGCAGGCCAGTAGTGAACCAATTTCTAGTAATCCAGAAATCATTGGGCCAATCACCATTGACGAGTCAGCAAGATTTCTTCTTCTTCTCTCTGGAGGATTGTGCAAAGTTCTCATGGAACTTTTTTCTGAAGATCTAAATATTGTCAACAAGGAATTGGTGTCAATTGTTGTTCAGCAGTTTAATAAACAATCTACGCTAGTGGGTGTCAGTCAAAGTACTATTAATCACATTTCACAACTTCATCATGATTTTTACTTGAAGAAAAAAGTTAGTGGTGATGAGTATCCTTTCAATGCACGCGATGATATGACTCTTATGATCAGAAATTTTTCTTTTGATATGCCAAACTCCATTGAGAACAATAAACAACCCTCAATGGCATCGAGTTTATCTGGAACACCAATAGCAAATACAAATACTTCATATTCTTCAACAAATACAAGTATCAACTACAGCTCCTATCCTACTGTGAGAAAAACAGAACCATACGTTTCTTTTAAAGAATATTTTGAAAATGTGGAACTTGCAAGAAAAGAAAACAGATTACCAAAAGACATTGAATTTGATGAAGAGCTTTGAACTTATGTTTAATGGAACTTTATTATATTTAATTAAAACAAAATAACAGCAAATATAAATTGGACCAAATAATTTGAAAATTGTTTTTTTGCCTCTGTTATCCAATTTGTTTAAATAAATAAATCTAAATTAAGTCACACCTATTTAATTATGATTGAAATATTCGAATCGTGCAATTTTTCGTATGCATGCTTTACACAACCAAAAGTATTGTGCAAGAAGTGTTACACCCCCGAACTTCAACATAATAGTGTTGTACCCATTGTAATTCAAAAGATTTATTTCAAAGTACACAGAATTAAAATTATCACATAGACTCAAAAATACTGTTTAGAAATAACTTTAATTAGCTTTTCAAAAAACAACGATTGGCTATATTTAATAGTAATTATTTCCTTTAAAGGTACGAATGAATCGACTACCTTAAAACTTAAAATACAATTTGAGCACTAAACAAAAACAACGTCATTAGAAAAAAAGTCAAATCTGGATTTGCATCTTTAGTATATGGGCAATTATTTTTCTTCAACTTTCAATATGTCCGACATTGAAGACCACACAGACCATTTGGACGCAGTTAGGTAATTTTTATTATTCAATTGTTTCTGTTCGTTATTAGCACAATTATTCCTTTTTTTTATTCCTGTAACCACCACTACAGTGACAGCGATGACGACTTATTTCAAAACATTCAGGAAAATGATCTTTCTGAGCACTACCTCGTCATCATCCTTCGTCAACTAATCGACAGGTTAGTACTGAGTTATTTATATGCTGGCCTTTTTCCTAATAATTACCCAAATCGAATGTTGTTTAAATATTTATTTATTTACAGCGGAGAAATTCATTTGTTGTCACACACTCCAATGCGAGAAGGGCAACTTCCAAAAATCACCAAAGGTCCAAACATGGAGAAGCTCAAGGTTACTTTGAATTTCTTTTTATTTATAGATAAGATGTTTAATTATTTTCGATTACAGGAGAGTCCTCTTTATAACCAAATAAGAAGTTCTTCTGGCTTTGGAAAACAAGTCGATGAAAACATAGACAGCAAATGGTCGATGTTGAAAATTCTCAATAATCGACAAAATTATGGAACAATGTTGCGAAATGAAAAATGTAAAATTAATAATTTGTTTCTTCCTAATCAAAGTGAACGTCCACTTGTGAGATTAGATTCTAAAGTGTTTTGCGGCAGTTTTACACGGGATGGAAGTCGATTTGTTACAGGGAGTCAGGATCAAGAAATTCGTATTTTTGACTCGTCAACATCAAACTACAATGAACTTAATCATATTCAAGCAAAACATGTCAGCTGGTGCATTCTGGATATTGCTTTTAGTCCATGCTCAAAATATTTTGCATATTCAACATGGGCGGAATGTTTACACATTTGTCCCTTAAGCGGCGAAGATGAAGACATAAAATGTTTGAACTTAAACACAGGCGTCAATCGCTTTGGTGCTTTTTCATTAGCATTCTCTAACAATGGAAAAGAAATTATCAGTGGTGGATCCGATGCCAGTGTATACATATTTGATCGTGAACGGAATGAAAGAACACTAAAAGTTCCTGTTAGAAAAGACGGCTTAGCTACTGACGTCAATTGTGTCGGTTTCGTGGATGAATCATCCCAGTTATTTTATTCTGGAAGTGATGATGCTTGTATTAGAATTTGGGATCGTCGATGTCTGAATGAAAACGATCCAGAAGCTTCAGGTTTATTGTTAGGTCATATTGATGGTATTACATATATCGACTCAAAAAACGATGGCCGTTATCTTTTATCAAATTCAAAAGATCAATCATTAAAGCTTTGGGATATGCGACATTTTTCGCCAAAAGAATGCGAAGGAAATATTCGTCAAGTGCTACAATCACGAAACTGGGATTATCGTTGGGATAAAGTGCCGAAAAGTTGTAAGTTTTGGTGAATATTCTCCTTTCTAATGATTGATATAACTAACATATTTATCAGATTATAACGCAACAAAACCAATCGAAGGCGACACATCAATTGTAACACTTAAAGGTCATCGTGTTCAAAAAAGTTTGATTCGTGCTAAATTTTCACCAGCAGCTACAACAGGACAACGATATATTTATACAGGCTGTTCAACAGGACGATTAATTAGTAAGTTAATAAACGTTGTTAATTCATTACATTTCATTAATTTAAATTTTTATTCTCCTTTCAAAAGTTTATGATATTCTGACTGGTAAAATGGTAGGTGGAGGCATTGAAGGCCACAAAGATATTGTCCGTGATGTTGCATGGCATCCGAAACGAAATGAGATATTAACAAGCTCGGTACGTATTTTTAAATTATGGTTAAAAGTTATCAAAGAAAAACGTATATTTTTTTTCAGTGGGATTACAGTGTTAACATCAATACATTTCAAGATAAATCAACAGAAAAGAAAAGAACTCGAGGAAATGTAATGCCACATGACTATATGGGTGATGATGACGGAAACTTAATGGATATAGCACCACCATTAAGACGCTCACGGAGAATTGCGCAACGACAAGCTTCTGGTTCATCAAGTTCTCGAAGCACTGAAAGAAACTAATTTACTGTTTATTTATACTTGCAAATGAAATAAATAAATATATTGATTTATTTAAACAAAATGAAAAATTAGTATTTAACAAGAATTCATTTATTTGGCGCGATTATATTTAACCCAGAAGTTACTTAATTTAAATAACTTGAATGCTTTTCTTTATTTTTTTAATTTTACTCATAATCTTTCTTGGATTTCCTTTTTGTCGTGTCGTCATATTCTCGATATTAAACAAAGAATATTTGTCAGTGTTCATGAAATTATCAACAGCTTTTGTTTGTACGACTTTAATTTCAATGTTTTCCGTAAGGCCATAACCGATGATATTAGCAATATTGGAGTTTATAAATTCATCAACAGTCATGCACTTTAACTTTTGTGCAACTTGTGAAGGAATCTGAATAACGTTAGTGTTGTGAACTGTATTTAAGCCTTTGGGAACTTTTTCCTCGTTGGATTCATCAGGAACACATTGCGGAAGCGATTCATTTTCTTTTTTATTTACTTGCTCTGATAATTCTGTATTCTCATTTTCTAAGTTGTGATTATTGGCTATATCTTTAGATTTTTTAGATTTCCGTGCCTTGATTTGTTTGAGCGAAGTATCTTCATTTGTAATTTCTTCGTTTTTAGGTTTTTTTGATTTCTTTTTCATGACATTGGAGGACAACTCTTTTTGTTCGTCAATCGTATCTTGCTTATCTTTCAATTCGTTGTTATCGAAGGAAACAACTTCTATCTGAGCTAAATGTCTTTTTTTCTTTTTTTTAGGCTTTTCTATATTTTGCGTATTACTTTCATAAATATTGAGTGAAATTCTGATTTCATCATTATCAGAAGCCTCAGCTTCTTCCTGAATGATTTTTCTCTTTTTTGATTTAGAGATTTTTTCATTTTCAGTAGTTTCTTCAGCAGGTGAGCTTTCTAGTGAAGTTTCAGAATGTTTTGATTTCATTTTCTGCTTAAAATAATCAGTAACTGAAAGTCCAGACTCAATTATCATGTTATTACTATTACTAGGAGAAGGAGTTGATCTGGAAAAGTTATAAAAATATTGTTGAACCTGTTTCATATGAATAATTTTATGCAATATCTTACTTTTCTTCAAAAGTGTTTTGACTCACTGGATCTGTAGTTTGATCATTTCTCTTTAATGTTTTCTTCCCTAAAATATTTGCCAAATCTTTTTCACTATAAGAATGAACGTCTTTTCCACGGGTAAACTTTTTGTAGTGAACTCTTGCACGAGACCTTTTAGATTTCTCTTCCAAAGACTTTACATTCCTCAACTCATTAATGTTTTTATCTTCATTATTACTTGAACTGGATCCATTAAGTTTCTTAAGTAAATCATCAAATTGTGACTCATTTTCTGTCCATTGATTGTCTTTAAGTCCATCATATCCTAAACCATTAGCATTATTTTTATATCGTATTTGTATAAACTCAAGATTTCCATGTTGCTCTTTTCCAAGTCCTTGTCCTTTATTCCAACCCATTTTTGCTAACATTCTCGATCCAAAAGAGGAATCATCTAGAAAATAAAAATTATTTATTTTAAATTTTGAGTACCTAAGAAACTTACCTTCATAAAGAGCTTTTCCCCTGGGTTGAAGAACAAGAACTTGTTTTTTTCTACTTGCTTCAAATGTCATTTTTATCGGCAGGTTATGCTTCTAAATTAAAAAATTAAAACTTTTGATTTAACACATGTGTAACTTTCTACGTACGTAACTGATAAAACGTACGTTTCTACGTAACGTTTGTTTTTTCACGTTAAACATAATTTAAATTCAAAAGAAATACGTTAAATATTAAAATATTACGATAAATCTGAAATCGCCTGACAATTAATCTACTTGGCTGTAATTCTTAAACATACTTACACTGAAAAATTTATTTATTCCATAAATTCATATAGGTAATTTGTTTTGTAAACTATCTAGTATCTATTATGTCAAAAGAAGTAAACATTGCGCAAAAGAAATAAATATTCATGCAAATAGGCATACTGTTGTGTCAAATAGGTATGTATCTTTTAATGCATTTTCAAATCTGAAAATATTTATTTTCAAAATATCACATTAAAAACAAAGACCAAGATTTAACTTAATGAAATTGAAGCTTTTTATTTTTATTCACCTTCTGTCTAATTCTTTTTTTGTTTTTTTTTTGGAATGATAAATTCATGTCTCTTTTACGAATGTAATTAAATTTAAATGTATAAAAAAGCAAAAAATTCGGGTATTGGTGGAATGTAATGAATGAAAAAAAAAACATTAACCGTGAAGTTACAGTTTGTGGAATTATGAATGAGAATGATTTGTGTCTTATTTTGACTTGCTAAAGATTTTTTTTCATCCATTCAAGAGTTCATATGGTTGAATACTTGTAAACTTTTTTATAATCGAAAAAGGAAACAAGAAAAAAATGAGATAAAATTTCATAACTGAGATTAAGATTTTAAAGTTTCTTCATATGCAATTTTAAGCATCAACTGCAATTGCTTCTAATGAACGATTTTTTGAAGATATTTTTTTGCTGATGACGCTCTCTCTTTCTTGAACAGCGGTTGATGTAGGTTTTGATTTTTGATGTTAATTGAATACGAATACGATTGATTTAGAAGCATTTGCGGTGAACAATTGATGGGCCAGATTCATCATATTCTTGTTTGCTGATCCACATTTGTTGGAAGGTTGAGAGTGAAGCTAAAATGGATCCACCAATCCAGACAGAGTATTTACGTTCTGGTGGTGCAATGATCTTGATCTTCATTGTTGATGGTGCTAAAGCAGTGATTTCTTTCTGCATACGGTCAGCGATTCCAGGGAACATTGTGGTACCTCCCGAAAGAACAGTGTTGGCGTACAAGTCCTTACGGATATCAACATCGCACTTCATGATTGAGTTGTATGTTGTCTCGTGAATACCGCAAGCTTCCATTCCCAAGAATGATGGTTGGAAGAGAGCTTCTGGGCAACGGAAACGTTCATTTCCGATTGTGATGACTTGTCCATCAGGAAGTTCATAAGATTTCTCCAAAGAACTTGATGATGCTGCTGTGGCCATTTCTTGTTCAAAGTCCAAGGCGACGTAACATAATTTTTCTTTGATGTCACGGACAATTTCACGTTCGGCAGTGGTTGGGAAAGAGTATCCACGTTCAGTGAGAATCTTCATCAAATAATCAGTCAAATCACGACCAGCCAAATCCAAACGGAGAATGGCATGAGGTAAAGCGTATCCCTCATAAATTGGGACTGTGTGCGAAACGCCATCACCAGAATCCAACACAATACCGGTGGTACGACCAGAAGCGTACAAGGAGAGCACAGCTTGGATGGCAACGTACATTGCTGGTGTATTGAAAGTTTCGAACATGATTTGAGTCATCTTCTCTCTGTTTGCTTTTGGATTCAATGGGGCTTCAGTCAACAAGACTGGATGTTCTTCAGGGGCAACACGCAATTCATTGTAGAAAGTGTGATGCCAGATTTTTTCCATATCATCCCAGTTGGTGACGATTCCGTGCTCAATTGGATATTTCAAGGTGAGAATACCACGTTTGCTTTGAGCTTCATCTCCAACATAAGAATCTTTTTGTCCCATTCCAACCATCACACCTTGATGACGTGGACGACCGACAATTGATGGGAACACAGCACGTGGAGCATCATCTCCAGCGAAACCGGCTTTGCACATACCGGAGCCATTGTCGACAACTAATGCAGCAACTTCTTCTTCACACATTTTGATTTCTGCAAAGACAAAAGAAAAAGTAAAATATAAGTAAATTTTTTTTCAATTTTTCAAACTATTGCGTGGGAGATGTGAAGGAATTCCACGCAGAGATTTAAAATTTTATGGTAAAACCTGATAGATTTTAAGCGTTTGCTCTATTTTCGGAAGAAATGGTTTTAATTGTCTTTTCTTTATATTAATGCTTTCTGAGGGAAAATTTAAGTTTCTTTCATGAAGAATCGATATCCGTTAAGCCAAGAATAATTTAAAGAAACTTGTTATTGTACTAAACACATAAGAAAAAAAGAATGATTCACTTTACACGCACACATCGGTAGTATTTCTCGGAATCTGTCTATATGCAGTAATTATTAAAAAAAATCATTTTTTTTTAATTTGCTAAAGAAATTTTCTTGCACAATTGTTAATAAAGTTAATGAAAAGCCGTTAACTGTATTAAAGGATTCTGATAAGCAATAATTATTCGCAATGGCTGATATTTCAAAAATGCCGGCCAACGCCCTGCGGGTTTTGAGAAAATGATGATATAAAGAAGAAATAATACCTTAAATTATTCTCTAACTTGATAAAGATGACTTTATTGTTGATTTCAAATACTTTTAAGCAATGAATGCACAGCGCTTTGAATTTTAATTAACTTTTTATTTGAGGGAAAAAATCTAAAGCAAGCTCACTTACGAGATGAAACACGTCTAAACTGTTCGCCAACTGGAGTGTAAATGAACGCGTTTGAGAAGAAAAAAAAACTTCGCTTTGCTTTTCTCCAGTTCTCAACGTTTTTTATCCCCTCTCCCTGTCTGTTCTCACAATTTCTTACCATATATGGGCATATTTGAAGTTCGGAAATCTTCTTGAATGTGTGAGTAAATTCGTTGAAGAATTCGTTACTTCCCCAAGAATTGTAAAATCATCGCATCGATTTATATTTAACCGTTCAGACATTATTGATTTTAGGTTTGGCTTATGACAAATGTGTAATCAGAATTAAAGCTTTATGAAAACAAAAAACTAACCAAAATTATACAAAATATCCTATTCGTGAGGCAAATTAAACACGAAATTTTCATTTACTCATCAATTTTTCCTCTAAACTTCAGTGTAAGAAGAAAATATTGACCGTAATAATTTGAAAAGATTTTAACGGCTTTATCCCCGATTATGAAAAGAAAAGTTGCTTTTCGCCTGGTTTTCGCATTATACATTGGTTCTTTCAAAAAATTGTTTCTCTTTTACTTCACATCACTTAATATTCCAGATTATTGCAGAAAAAAGAATAATGAACAATGAGTTTGTTGAACTGTAATTGGTGCGATGGTTTAACGGATTTCTTCTTCAATGATAGGTAGTAGCTTGATTCGATTATGCACAGTTTTTATTGCGGAATAATTTATATCGTGAGTTTTCCTTGTTTGAAATATCTCACAAACAAAAAAATGTTAAACTATCACTTTCATATATTTTCACATTCTTTTTATCCAATGTTTTCACAATGTCATGACAAATATTTATAGCTAATTGCCTTATTTTTCTTCAAATTTAATTAACATTATCAGTACCACGTTGATTAAAGTAGAAAAAAATAATCCTTTGACTTCTGTTACTTACATTTGGTTTTATTCTTTTGCAGTAATATTTACGAACTATTTAAATAAATTAATTCACTAAGTTGATAATAAACTTAATTTGTATATTTTTCCTTTACTCGACTTCAGAAATTTTAATATAAAATTTTCTTGTTGGTTGCTTTACAGCTAGACTTTCATTGATAAGTTTTAGATTTCAAACAGTTTTTAAATACTTCTCCACTACACAAGCGAATCTCCCAATGGTGCACATGTTAATGCCGCATTTGGTTGTGTTGAGCGAGTAGAAATCGTCTAAGAAACTCAAACCTTACCATATATGGATTTTTTCCAGTATTTCCAACACTTTGAGCCTTGCCTTCACAACTACAGTTTGGATCGAGTGAGAACTTTCAACAAGTTTTGTGAGTACTTTGTCCATTTTAATACTTATATACATCGAGAGAGCTTCTTAATGTTTAATAATACAATAACCGTACCCTACATGCTTAAAAGCTCACAAGTATTGTGAACTATTTTCTTTGAGCATCAATGAATGTGCGTGTAATATTCATCATTAAAGATTTAAAATAATAATTTGTTTTTGGTTCGTTTTATTTATATTTTTCTTCGTCATCACATTCCGAAAGTTCCAAAATGATAAGATTTTTAGTGGAAATTTTTATAAAATATTTTATACATATTAATTCCAGCAAGATAAGCAAGAATTTAGTAAATTGCTTTTACTGACACCACCTCAGCTTTTTTTCTCATTAATTTGAGTACATAAATATCTTCCAACATTCATCATGCGGTGTTTCCATAATTACAGTTTTATTGAGTTCATAATACATACATTTGCATGACTCTATAAACTGATGAATTGTCATGATTTGTTCATAAATGAAAACCATTTCCTAGCGACGATGAAAAATTTTATCAACATTTTCAATTTTCTGTTTTTTTGAAAATTGTGTAATTGCATTGAAATTAAAAATATTCTTCATGTTAGGTACTTGGATTGGATATGATGAGCTATTCTTGTATTACATATAGAAACTGTTAACCGGCATAATTGATTTGAATAAATACAAGTAGGTACATTTCTAAAAATACCTACCTAGTTGAGTAGTTTGGAATTTTTATTCATTGTTACAGATATTTTTATATAAATGCAAGAAAATAGGTAAATCGTTCGGAGATAGCTAAGTAGACCACAAAAAAATATTTGGCTATGAAAGTCTTGATGGATAAGTATTTAACACTCAACAAATATTTTCTGATCAAGTCTTCGTTAGACTTTGATGTTTTCTTGAAATTTTATTTTTATTTTGAAGGGATTAACTTAAAATTTCTTAAAATATTTTCTTACTTCTGATTTATTTCAATGACAAGTGGGTTTACTTTATAAATTCAATTACAGTAAAGCTATTTATTCTGAATTGTGCTTCCTGAGTAAGTTAATCATGCTTTTGAAGTATGAAAATATTAATTACAAATATTTTATGACATCTGATAAATCACACCAACCCAGACGATTTGCTACGTTTCATGATTTCAATTTTTGATAAGGAAAGGCATCGATAATATTTCAGAAATATTTCACATCATGATTTTTTATACATCCACTTGAAACTATTGGCATGACTTTATCAACAAGTTTAAAATTGACAATATTTAAATAAAAATACTTTATTAACGATTTAAATAATAATCATTGCATAACAGACAAAACTTGAGCTTAATGCTTTTTGATTTAGAAGCATTTGCGGTGAACAATTGATGGGCCGGATTCATCATATTCTTGTTTGCTGATCCACATTTGTTGGAAGGTTGAGAGCGAGGCTAAAATGGATCCACCAATCCAGACAGAGTATTTACGTTCTGGTGGTGCAATTATCTTGATCTTCATTGTTGATGGTGCTAAAGCAGTGATTTCTTTCTGCATACGGTCAGCGATTCCAGGGAACATTGTGGTACCTCCCGAAAGAACAGTGTTGGCGTACAAGTCCTTACGGATATCAACATCGCACTTCATGATTGAGTTGTATGTTGTCTCGTGAATACCGTTAGATTCCATTCCAATGAATGATGGTTGAAACATTGTCTCAGGACAACGGAAACGTTCATTTCCGATTGTGATGACTTGTCCGTCAGGAAGTTCATAAGATTTCTCCAAAGAACTTGATGATGCTGCTGTGGCCATTTCTTGTTCAAAGTCCAAGGCGACGTAACATAATTTTTCTTTGATGTCACGGACAATTTCACGTTCGGCAGTGGTTGTGAATGTGTAGCCACGTTCAGTTAAAATTTTCATAAGGAAATCAGTCAAATCACGACCAGCCAAATCCAAACGGAGAATGGCATGAGGTAAAGCGTATCCCTCATAAATTGGGACTGTGTGCGAAACGCCATCACCAGAATCCAACACAATACCGGTGGTACGACCAGAAGCGTACAAGGAGAGCACAGCTTGGATGGCAACGTACATTGCTGGTGTATTGAAAGTTTCGAACATGATTTGAGTCATCTTCTCTCTGTTTGCTTTTGGATTCAATGGGGCTTCAGTCAACAAGACTGGATGTTCTTCAGGGGCAACACGCAATTCATTGTAGAAAGTGTGATGCCAGATTTTTTCCATATCATCCCAGTTGGTGACGATTCCGTGCTCAATTGGATATTTCAAGGTGAGAATACCACGTTTGCTTTGAGCTTCATCTCCAACATAAGAATCTTTTTGTCCCATTCCAACCATCACACCTTGATGACGTGGACGACCGACAATTGATGGGAACACAGCACGTGGAGCATCATCTCCAGCGAAACCGGCTTTGCACATACCAGAGCCATTGTCGACAACTAATGCAGCAATCTCTTCTTCAGCCATTATGTTGAGTTATTTTTCTTTTAATTTACGATTTCAACTGAAATTTAACTGTAGGAAGTGTTGACAATGAATGAAGAAACATTTGCATTTATTTTTTCTTTTATAGTTAACAGCAAAGTTATCATTTTTTGATTTAATTTTATCAAACCTTATCTTAATCCAGTCTTTGATTAACACGAATCATTTCAGTTCAAATGTTACCTTAAAAGGGAATTGAACAGAAAAATTGATTTTTTATTTATTGTGATTCTGGGTAGTCATGCATTTGTAAGCAATGTTAAGATTCATGGTTGTTTTACCGAAATTTCATTTCGTACTGATTTGCTTAAACAACGGAACGTATAGTAAGAAATGTCTAAGTAGGAAGAGAAACATTTCTAAATGTTTTTAAAGATTTTACATTTTTAACGTGTTCTGTAAATGGGATTCGTTTGGTATTTGTTTTTTGAAACATCGTTCAGAATTATTCAATAAATAGAGTTTCAAATGATGGACTTGATCTTTGTGAGAAGCTTGTAGGTATTCACTCAATACAAATCGTCAAGTATTGTTCGAAATGAGAATTGAATTAAATTTGTTTTATTCTCTTTCGAACGTTAAATTGGCTACATCGCATACAAAACTAATCTTCAGCAACGTAGCGTTAAATTTTTAAGGTAGACATAAAAGTATGTGAAACAAGTTAAAGCCTTCTAAAGAAGGGAAAATATCGTGTTGGTCGTGAGTTGATTATATAGCGCAAAAGGAAGGAAGGAAGTTAATGATTCATGGCTATGAGTCATTTCTCCTTGACCCTCAATTTTTTGTTCATGATTTTAGCAATATTGCCTTTTTATTTGAATTGCGTGAGGAAGGTTGCAACATGCAGCAATAAATTTCACCTTTCATACACACAGGCATGATAATTGCGGGTGAAACACATTGGAATGATTCACTAGGATTTCCCTTGAGAGGTTGAAGTCCGCTATCAATGTTTGAGCATGTATTCCGATTATCGATTTCCCTTCACATTTAATTTTAACAAATAAAATTTAGTTGTGTGTGAAACACTTAAAAACCTGTCTTTAATAATGACTTAATTCCTTTCCATAGAATTTAAATACATTAAATCAGATTACAATGTTATTCTGGTTTTGATTTAAAATTATGCTACTTCAAATTTATTTTCTCTTTATTTTAAATTAACGAAAAAATAAGAAAATCATGTTTAAGTTTTGTCTGTATCAGGATTTTTTTCACGGTGAATCATCTGCGCAATGCTCGATTGTCGAGACGAATTTCCCCTGAAAGATATTGCCCCGCAAAAGTAAAAAGCCGGCAAGCATGACACAAACACAATCACCACTGCATGTATGCTTCATAAAGTTGCAAGTTAGATAATTTTTATGGACGTATAGATAATGTTGTGAAAATATCTATTTAATAATAATAATATAAATAGAGATATATCTATAAGAGATCATTCATATCTAGCTTTAAATGGTGCGAAAATATATAAAATAACAATGAATGAATCGAATGAAGAAAGCCTTTTTAAGAAGAAATCAAAAATCGAAACATCAAGTCCTTTTTGATGAGAAAAATAATAGCAAGGATAAATTTGAATATTTTTTTCATAACTTATGATGAATCGAATCTAAGAAAAAGTTTTTATATGCATTTTATATACACTAACTATCTACATACGTAAAAATGGAAAAAAATTTCAATTTAAAAAAAATTTCAGACAGTTGGCCAAATAAGGCAACGCATTTTACTTTTACTTAATTGAAAGCTTTTAATTTATTGTAAATATGCTTCTCGTGTGAATTGATGATGTATGAAACATTCACAGATACTAATGGTTTGTAATTAAAATGTGAAGATGTTTTGAAAATCATTTCTTTCGTTTTTATGTATCTTCTCTCTATCTAAGTATATGTTTTAATTAATGTTTTTTAAACTTTTATTTTGCTATTCACAGAAATGGTAAGATTATTCACTTTTCGACACTTATGGCAATTAATCATTAACTTGCTAAAGATTTTGTCTCATCAACAATATGTCAAAATAAATCATCCTTGTTTTATGCTTAAGTTCAATGACTACATAAATAAATAATCAAGACACGAGTATCAGACACATCAAAAAGTTTTTGTTGTAAAATAAAGTTATCAATTTTTTATCAGAAAAATCTTAATAAAAGTCATTAAACTATTCTTTGTTAGCTACAAAAATCTTGCAACTTTCATTGTCAGCATATCTCGCAAACAAAACAACTTTCGTAATGGAAGGACTTATACTGAAATTAAAGAAAGAAATTTTTTTCCGCAACAAACTGAGATTTTTATTCTTACCTAATAAAAGAGTTGAAACCTCCAATTTTGGTGATTATATCGCAAAATTTACCATATTCAGTTTCAACGCGTACATTGCTATTATTTTCAGACGTCCTCGTTTAAATTTGTTGAAAGTTTAAGGTCATTGTCTTATATGGACAATGGAATATTAAATCAATTTGAAATTTCAAAATGACATTGCAAATAAAATTGCATTTGTATAGGGACAGATAAGCAGTTTCACTTTTATCTGTTATTATTTCTCATACTTCCCATAATAAATAAAAATGAAATGAATAAGTATCATCACTTAGCAAGTGTATAAATATTTATTGATGATTCAACGACATCCTTGTCTCTGAAAAATTCAAGGTGATAATCAATTGAAATATCTGAACGATTCTAATCATATCGATGATTCATTTAAAAGCTATTTTGTTTACAAATCTTCTTGTTTTTAATTTTCTGATTTCTTAAAGTCTTTAAATAATTAACAGATAGAAAAATTATTTTATGCTCAAACTCAAACTTAATAAATGAATTTTATTAATCAAGTTTTATTTAATTAGAAATCAAATAAATTACATAATAAATAATTAAATGAATGCAAATGGGTGTTTCTTCAAGTAAGAGAACTTTTCCATAAATATTTTTACGAGATGAATCATAAAAAGCTTAAGAAAAAAGTTTGTGAAAAAATGTTTTTGGAAATTATGACTGGTTTCAAAGAAACTCAGTTTCATATGAATAGTTGGGTTAGTCATGAAACGCGTCATCGTGTCTCATCTTTCCGCAAACACAACTTTAAGATCACGAAGAATTGTGGTAGCGACAGTGTCTTTATAATTTTTTTTTTTGGTAACGACTTTCGATGTCTGAGTATTCAATTTCAAAGGCGAATGAAATATTATTGACTAAAAGCCGGTGTGAAAAGAATGTTATGTTATTGTCAAGGCAAATGATGCTGTTCGCAGTTTAAATAAGGTAAATATCTACTTCGCAAATAATCAAAATTCTTAAAAAAAATAAACTTTTTTCATTGCAGAAGTTTTCCTTGTTTGTATTGATGGAGACAAACATTAATGTGATAATTAAGTAGTCTCTCTTCACGACATTTGAAAGCATTTCAAAGCTACTGAAACAAATAGATTAAAAAAACCAAAATGATATTATTTTCAGATTAAAATGTAAAATAAGCAGATGGTCTTAATTATGACAAAACATATACAAAATCATGTCACTCCAAAACTACTTTTTAAAAATAAAATGAATTTCGTTCGTTGTCATCCGAAACTAAAAAGCTGATATGAAAGACTTTTATGGAATGATAATGAATAATTTTTCATTTTCGATTGAATAGGCAATTTGAGTGGGATATGGGAACAATTTACAAGTAGAAAGGAAGGAAAAGAAGGATTGCCAGAGAATGGTGGACATTATCAGATGATGTTTAAAGGAGATTCCTAATATGGAAGATATGAGTCGTCTTTTCTTCCAATCTTGAACCAATGTAGACATTTAGTTTTGTTTATTTAAATAAGTGTCCAATGAACTGGGAAGCGTCATAATCGTCTTTCTTTAATAATATTCAAACTATAAGTTTATTTAAAAATACTTAAATTTCTTTTAAAGAACTTTAAACAAATAGAAGAAATGTTCATAATTAAATATAAAAAGCTAATTAATCATTGCATTTTATTCGCACAACTCGTTCGTTTATTAGACACCATATTAGGCTTTCCGCTTTTTGTTTAATTGGCTGTCGAAACTTGAAACTATTATTAAACAGCAAGCATCTTTTATTCGCTTGAACAATCATGGAAGTGGCTATGAAAACGAAACACTTTCGAACTACAAGGAATGAATATTTATATGAGAGCAAGAAATCGAGCCATACATGTTCATAAGCCTTGATGTATTTATTAAAGGCTGAATCTGGCAGTATCTAAGTACTTACAATTTTTGATTCGATTGTCACTTGAGCTATGTCAAATGATTCGCAGGTCTGTAAAATAACAAAAAAGCTGGTATANTTTCAGTAAATTACTTTCATCCAAGTTTATAGCAAAGGGAAAGATTATGAATTTCTGCATCTGTGAAGGTAACATTCCTGATCTGATCCTAAAACTGCCTCATAAATTGAAAAATATTAATTTCCGCAAAGGTAGACAATCATTTTGTCCATATGGACTCACATATGAGTGCATCAAAAATGACCTTTCTAAGTCACAAATCAAGGGGCGCTCAATAATTGACGTCTCGTATTTCAAAATTTCAGGAGCAACAACAATGACCTCTCTAATTTTAAATATACAAAAATGGGAGAGTATCATAAATGACATCTCTAATTTACAAAAACTTGAGTATATCATAAATTACGTCTCAAATGTACGGAAATTTTACGTCCCAAAGTTACGAAAACTTCAAGAACAATCTATTCAAAAGTACTTTCATTCTCTATCTGTTTCATTAAAATTTTATATCCACATAAAACAACACTCATTTAATCATAGAAAATTTCGCTCATATTCTACAGTTGAACGCCGGTAAGCGGAAATCCGCTTTCGACGAACTACAAAAGAAATGTGAAAATAAACTAGTTGATATACTTTTGCTTCAAGAACCAGCATTGCACAAAGGCAAAGTTATTAATATAATGAATGGTGACATGTTCTAAGGAAACAAAGCTAGCAATAGGGTTATGTCATGTATTTGGGTAAGAAAAAATTCGAATAGATTTCTAGACCCTTTTTCTTTTAAATCTAAGTAGAAATGATTTAAGAGTTATGATGGGTGTCTTAACAGGACACTGCTGTCTATACAAACATTTGAATTCAATGCAAAGGACGCAACTTATTAACTGTAGATATTGCAAAGGCATGACAGAAGAAACTATGCAACATGTTGTAGCATCTTGCGATGCACACTCTAGAGTAAGGCTAAGAGTCTTCAACCACACTGTCATCAATGCCGAGGAGCTCGCGGAGGTGGAACCGGAGGATCTTCTCCTCTTCATGAGGAGAACGGGTGTCCGGTCCACCTTCTTCGACTTCTTCAGCTGACAGTGAGATCAGGGAGATGGCTGGTGAAGGTTCTCACCTTCAGAGAAACTTTTCTCTCTGAAGGTTTGTAGAATAAATTTCCAAAATTCCCCCATCTTCCTGATTTTCGCGTTGAAGATCTCGAACGGTAATCATGTCTGTTGTTCTTATTTCGTCCTTCACGTTTTAAAGTCAATCATCAGGATTTTTGACCACACTGTCATTAATGTTGAGGAGCTCGCGGGGGTGGAACTGGAGGATCCTCTCCTTGTTATGAGGAGAACGAGTGTCCGGTCCACCTTCTTCGACCTCTTCGGCGGACAGTGAGATCAGGGAGATGGCTGGTGAGGGTTCTCATCTTCAGAGAAACTCATCTCTGAAGGTTTGTAGAATAAATCCTAAATCACCCCCATCTTCCTGTATCAGCGGTCAAATTGGTCTTTTTGAGCTAAATTCACAAGTACATTTCACTTATTACGCAAAATTCAAGGCAGTTTTTGAAACTTTACTTATCTAACATCAATCATCAAATGACGGGATATAGGGAGCGAAACAAGAAGGGGTTCATACTCCTATATTCTTAATCGCTTTAGTGCACTGGTTAGTGCACTCCCTACTCTGATGATGATGATGATTGCATTTTATTCGCACAACTCGTTCGTTTATTAGACACCATATTAGGCTTTCCGCTTTTTGTTTAATTGGCTGTCGAAACTTGAAACTATTATTAAACAGCAAGCATCTTTTATTCGCTTGAACAATCATGGAAGTGGCTATGAAAACGAAACACTTTCGAACTACAAGGAATGAATATTTATATGAGAGCAAGAAATCGAGCCATACATGTTCATAAGCCTTGATGTATTTATTAAAGGCTGAATCTGGCAGTATCTAAGTACTTACAATTTTTGATTCGATTGTCACTTGAGCTATGTCAAATGATTCGCAGGTCTGTAAAATAACAAAAAAGCTGGTATACAAACATTTTTTAGCCGTCTGCATGAAAATTAATTTATTTGTAAAACGATATATCAGTGATCAGCAAAATGAGCAAAAACCTTATGTTTTGATAATCATTGATGGTTAAATTCCATTAGAACTTCTTTTTGTTACGTTTTTGCTTTGAAATCATTACGTAAATTGAAATATTTGGAATTTCATTCAGATTTTTATGTTACAGAGTCCATTGTTGGTTTAGATGTTTCTTCTATTTACAATCATAAAGCAGATGAATACTTGTGGTTTTTTTTTTTGTTGGATTTCACACATTCAAACATCATGGAGTGCTCCAGTTTTAATACCATTTATGGGCATGAAAATCGTTCTACTTACACTTGTTATCAACGGGAATGACTTGTCTTCGTCATACACATTCGCCTGTTGTTTTATTTATCTCTCAACGATTGCATAACAATGAATAATAAAATCATTTGTTTGAAAAACTTAAAATGAGAAGATGTCAAATCGATTCGAAACTCTTAACAATTCAAAGGCTTCAGATTTATTTTATTTCTTTTTTTTTCAAAACTGATTCGTTTTCAAAACATGATTGCATTTTGCTTTCTATGATTGAAGAATAAAATGATTTAACTTAAATAATAGTTTTCCGGGTCGGGTATTCTTCGGGTTTAAGTACGGTCTTTTCATAAAACCCGCCGGGTTTCGGGTTTTTGAAGATGTACTAACATACGAACAGAGTTGGGCGGTCCAATAATTTTTTGGATCGCCGATCCAGTTAAGCGATCCAAAATTTCAAAATTGGATCGCCGATCCGGATCGGCGATCCACGATATTTCGCTCTAATTTGAATCGCCGATCCATTTCCGCGATCCAAAATTTCGAAACTGGATCGCCGATCCGTATCGCCGATCCATTTTCTCCATGGATCGGCGATCCGATACACGATCCAATAGAAAAAAAAATAAATACCAAGTCCCTCATTTAAAAGCGACACACTTGCTAATTTTACCCCTTGTCGTTCAAAGGGGCAAAACTACCTACCCTTCGGCGAAAATTTTAGTTTTGCCCCATCAAACACTGAGGGGTAGAAAATGTTTTGCATTTTCTGACCCTTAAGAATAAAGGGCATGGAAAATATCGGATCATCGATCCATTTTTTTCATGGATCGGCGATCCGATCCACGATCCATTTTTTCCATGGATCGGCGATCCAATTTCACGATCCAATATTTTAATTTTTGGATCGGCGATCCACTTTTGGATCGGCGATCCGTATCGGAAAATGGATTGCCCAACTCTGCATACGAACAAGGGCTAAAGGAAAATTAGTTCTTGTAGGAGAGTTAATAACCACTCACGAAAATTTTGAAAAGATTTTTCACAATGTTCGAGAAATTGAATATAAAAAAGAATTCATATCCTGCATTCAAGCAATACAATGTCGACGAATTGCAGAAAAAATTCCCTCGTTTTGACTTACGCAAGATAGGATGGGTGGTCAGAATCACACAGGATGATCACGGGAATCAGAAAAACAGGTGACCGCATTTGATACTGCCCACATTTGATACTACCCAAACTCGGTACGTTACTCTAACTAAAATTACGTACCTGATATGCCAACCGAGACGACGATGCCACTCATGTAAGCAACCATTATTAGACTTAGCTATCATCATACACCTGGCTTGCTCACCGGCTCAACTCAGCTCACCTTTTTTTCCGGCTCACCGGCTCAACTCAGCTCACCTTTTTTTTCGGCTCACCCGGCTCACCTGTCTGGATATTTGTCGGCAGTGAGCCTGGCTCACCTGGATATTTCTGCTAGGTGAGCTGGCTTACCTTGGTGAGCTGGCTCACCTTGTCCCGTGACTCTGTATGGTCCCCCTTCCACTTGTGACGTCACTTTTCATCGACCCCCAAAAAAAAAACGAAAAAAATGGGGTCGATGAAAAGTGACGTCACAATTTTTACCTTGTGACGTCACTTTTCATCGACCCCAAAAGAAAAAAACGAAAAAAATGGGGTCGATGAAAAGTGACGTCACAAGTGGAAGTGGGGACAATGCAAAATTACAGCTCACCTAGGTAAGCCGGCTCACCTAGCAGAAATATCCAGGTGAGCCAGGCTCACCAGCGACAAATATCCAGACAGGTGAGCCGAGCAAGCAAGCAGAGAAGAAAAAGTGAGCTGAGTTGAGCCGGTGAGCCGAAAAAAAGGTGAGCCGAGCAAGCGGCTCACCCACAGGTAAGCAAGCCAGTTCTATGGCTATCATACAATTAAAGTGGTTGAGAATTACATACGCATCTTTTTTATAAGAACCAATCAAAAAATTCTTCGGAATATTTTCTCTAATGAGTCTAAAAACAGGTTAGCTCTTATGTGTATGTAAATATCGAATAAATTTATAAATGAATTGAAATTTAGTTGTCACTTTCCCCGGGGTTTTCCCCAAGGGGATTCCCGGGGGAACTTTTTTCGAATCCCTATTACTCATGTCATTATTGATCAATCATTAATCAAAATGCCACAGGAAAATTTTTAAGTATCGCAAAACACCGGTAATTGCTTCATTTTCTTATGATTCTTCGACGATGGAAAACAATATGTAAAAATCCGACCCGAAAATTCGGGTTATAAAAATTTGACTTTATTCATGAAATACGAAAGGTTCATTCATTTTTAACACATAAACTTGAAAATATCTCGGTTTGTTACGGAGGCCCCACCCTTGGTTCCCCATCTGCAATTTATGTTTGAAGTTACTGAAAGAAAGAAAAATATCAGGAATTGATACTCGTTTTGAAGATTACTAACTTACCGTACCCACGAGTTATTTAAATCTCTGGAAAAATTTCTCAGCTCCAAAAATTTTTCAGATTGCCAAATCGGTGCAGAGGTCGTTGATGAAGGATTATCTGCTGCATTTTTATTACAGTGGTCACTTCCGTCATCACTGATTTCACAAGGAACTTCTTCATTATCACTGATTTCAAAAATTTCACAAGGAACTTCTTCGTAACTGCTGCCTTGATGAGTTGCTTTATTTTTTTGTTTCGTCAGAAGTTCGTAGAAAAGTAGATACGCATTTGTGCAAAGATCACTTTCCGTTGAAATTTGATACACGCAAGAGTCATCAAATTCATAATAATTACCGTAAGGAGTCAATCCAATCGCAGTGTAATGACCACCAGAAGCTGATCCACCAAGATGTGTCACAAGTGAGACCAGTCGATAATAGCAACTTTGTGTTGGATCGCAAGATTTTGCCAAATGTTTTTGAAGATCCATGTTTTGACTGATCTGAATCTGCTTGTCAAGTTTTCCACCCATAACATTGAAACGCTTCAATTGTATGCAGAGGACAACTGGAGCTCGTTCAAGACTGAATCTTTTTGTTGCTGACACTTTTCTCTTACACGACTCACATTCGTATCCACATTTCTCAAGATTCTCACGTGAAAAATACCCTGTGAGAGCCTCATCCAATGTTGAAGCACGAGTGATGTCCAACTGCAGATCTTTAAAATATTGAAATGTGATCGATTCGTGTTTACATGCTAGGCAAGTTACGGTTGAACAAATATAACCACCAAGAATCTGGCTAAGCGGTGTTGTTTCTTTGCTGTAATGATCCAACTCTTTCAAGTTTACAATCGCTTTTGAACGATTCAAATAAGCCTTCTCCATTTGTTCCACCAGATATTGTATAAATTCTTGGGCATCTTCTTGTCGCCCTGTTATGAAATGAGGACAAATGGTCTGGAGACGATTTATTATCAACGATGGTATCATTGAATGTTGTTGTCGTTGTGAACTAATTAATGTTTGCGACATTGCACAAATAATGCAAATTTGACCATCTAAAAGAAGAGTTTACTAATAAAATCTGAGAAATTATCATTAATGATGAACTTACCTTGATTGCAATTATCCTTATCAGCAATAAGCCAATTAGAAAGCGCAGGAATATGAAAAAGTGCTTGGAGAGCAGAGTTCAGATAACATGTGTTATATGTGTTGACAAAACCACATCCTGGTGACCACTTTCGACCAATATTGTTCCATCCTACTTGAACACTTTCACGCGGGAAAAACGTTTTCTTTGGCTGTGGCAAATGCTAAGAAGAAGAAATTCATTGGCTTAGTGCATTGGAGTCGGAATTATTTTTAGAAATTAACTTGAAAAAAATAATATTACATATTAGACATTTGTCACTCTTTTGCGGAGAAGGATTTGGATTACAGGTACGACTGAAAAAATTTACCATACAAAGTCTCGGGACAAGTTGAAAAGTTTTTAAACTTTTGCGTAAATCCAATACGGTGGCCCGTCACCACAGGGTGTGCCCTCCGTAAAACTCACCCGTGAAACGTTGGGTTCAGGAACATTTTCCATGCATGTGTCACGTTTCCGTTTGCGATTGATGGATACGTAAATCACTTCAGAGGACCACCCGTTCTCAGGTGGGTGGAAACGTGATTCACTGAAGTCGCATGGAAATATTTTTCCACTTATGGGATCACGAAAGTTGAGACTTTCAGACTTATTGAACACGGATTGAATTGTGCTCAGCAGCAATGTCCCATCTTCTTCTAACGCAAATGCAACTGATCTAAATCTATCCGCGAATTTTTCGTTATTTACGAAGATCCTTTCGAGATCTTCCGATGAAATCTACGTTGAATGGGAAGCAAAAAAAAAAACAAAATTCATCAATTCTAAATTCAAGATGAAACTTTTTGCTGCCGACACTTTCCTCTTAAACGACTCACGATTGTATTCATTTTCTTCAAGATTCTCAGTAGAAAAATACCCTGTGAGAGCCTCATTTAGAGTTTTCCGGGTCGGGTATTCTTCGGGTTTAAGTACGGTCTTTTCATAAAACCCGTCGGGTTTCGGGTTTTTGAAGATGTACTAACATACGAACAATGGCTAAAGGAAAATTAGTTCTTGTAGGAGAGTTAATAACTACTCACGAAAATTTTGAAAAGATTTTTCACAATGTTCGAGAAATTGAATATAAAAAAGAATTCATATCCTGCATTCAAGCAATACATAGTCGACGAATAGCAGAAAAAATTCCCTCGTTTTGACACACGCAAGATAGGATGGGTGGTTAGAATCACACAGGATGGATAAACGGGGAATTTTCCCATTTTCCCCGCCCATTCCCCCGGGGGATCCCCAAGGGAACTTTACAGAATTCTAAGAAAAATCTCTTATACATTCATATAAATAATTTTCTGCAAACAGAAACACGCCTAAAACAGTTCGAAAGGAAGTTGGGAAGTTGTTCCTAAGCTCTGAGGACTTCAGAAAACTTTACAAAAGACATTCTGACGGAACGTATGAAAGGGCGACCGATGATCCGAAGAAGAACAAATTCCCATTACGTCAAATTTTTCTCTCTGCTCTGATGGAGCAGAATCCTCAACTTGACCCAGAAAGAAAAGGTTTGATGTTCAACAAAAAGATTCCTGTTTATCCCGTAAGTATTTAATATTTATTCCACCTATATCATGCAAATGGTAGAGAAACATACCGATTTTGGGTAGCATCAAATGTGGACAGTATCAAATGTGACCACCTGTTTTCAGCCTTTATAATTTTAAAAAAAGTAGTATTGTTGAAAGTTTTGGAATCTCAACAAATACTTTTCGTTTTGTTTAAAATAAATTTAAAGGACTGAAAAGTCTGAAAAAAGGTGTCCGCATTTGATACTGCCCACATTTGATACTACCCAAACTCGGACGTTACTCTAACTAAAATTACGAACCTGATATGCCAACCTGATCCCTTCTAATAAAATGTATATTTCGATTTTTTATGAAATTTCTTTTAATTTTCAGTTTGGTATTCACCTCAACCATACAAACCATAAAAAATTTGATTGCAAGTACAAAGTCTATGCAGAGGTAACGACTGAAGAAACAAAAATTTCAAGTAGCTAAGGTCGTGGCGTAAGATGGTCCTGATAAAAAGTGCTCCTGTGGTGTAGCACAAAATAAAGGTAGTGTAAAATTTGAACTTAAATGTTATTCCATATTCTTTCATATTTTTAAATTCATTTAAATTTCGGTGAGCAAGACGACGATGCCACTCATGTAAGCAACCATTATTAGACTTAGCTATCATACAATTAAAGTGATTGAGAATTACATACGCATCTTTTTCATAAGAAGCAATCAAAAAATTCTTCGGAATATTTTCTCTAATGAGTCTAAAAACAGGTTAGCTCTTATGTGTATGTAAAGATCGAATAAATTATAAATGAAATGAAATTTAGTTGTCACTTTTCCCGGGGTTTTCCCCAAGGGGATTTCTAGGGGAACTTTTTTCGAATCCCTATTACTCATGTCATTAATCAAAATGTCACAAGAAAATTTTTAAGTATCGCAAAACACCGGTAATTGCTTCATTTTCTTATGATTCTTCGACGATGGAAAACAATATGTAAAAATCCGACCCGACCCGAAAACTGCGGGGTTTTTTGAATACGGGTTTTGGAAAACTTTAACTTAAATAATAGGTAAATAAACTTTATTTTACTAGGTAGGTAGGTAAGAAGATAAGAATTTCAAACAAATTGTCTATCAACACTTCTTTAAGATTTATTTAGTCAAAATATGCAAATTTTATGGATTTGAAGTTTATTTCAGCGATAGTATTGCTCGTTAGTAATCTTCATTTCTTCATTACAATACTATAGAAATGATTTTATAGAAAATCAAGTTATTTTAATTGAATCGGAATTTTATTAACGACTAGTTAGGTAGAGTTAAAACATATCATCAAAAATTGCTTTTATTTTGAGTGAAATTTTTATTGAATTTTTGAAGACATTTTTCTATTTCCTTTTCTCAAGCTTTATCCATCATATATTCAATAAACATGTCAACAATTTTCTTTTATGTCTTTGATAATGAATGCGAATTTAATTTAATTTTTTCTTTTATTTTTATTTTTAAAATGGCAATTTTTGCTGCCTTTAAAAAGTTTCATTTTGTTTAATCAATTAATTATTTCAAATTTTGGCTGAGGCCAATTCAGAGGTTTCGTTTTGATGATGCCAGAACAGATTATTGATGTTTAGAATCTATGGATTTGAAATCGTCTAAGTAAATTATTATAGAAATCGCTATGCGAACATTACTTATTATTTAGTTAGATATTGGAATCTATATATTCATACTTTTTCTTGATCTTATTTTTCTGACACCATTTCAAGACGGAGCCTTCAACAAGATCGCCAAATTTTACGTTAAATCTTTTCTAACAATTTTGCTTTATTATTAATTTATTTTCGATAAAAATAAATATCATAAGTTTCATTTTTGTTCAATTAAATTCTATCACAACCTAGAGAAACTATATGCTAAGATTTCTTTTTTTAAATTAATTGTTCATTCAGTTTTTACTTTATTTATTATTCTTTTCAGCCGAAAAACCTTTCCTCCGGTGTAGATAAGTTTCTTCTAAAACTTACGTGAATCTTAAAGGGATAAAAGTTATTAAATGTCTTGAATAAAATGTTTTGAGCAAAAATGTTTTAATTAACAATCTTTGGTTTTTAAGTTGAAATTTAGTTTGATTTCAAATAGTTGATAGATATAGAGGAAAGAAGTTACATATATCGATAGCATAAAAGTTTAACAAAGCGCTACTTAAAAGAGATTCAAATATTGAACAATGCTATCTCACGAGATCTCATGATCAAAAACAAATTTACCACAAAGACTTCAACCGATCTTTGATCGACGGGAGACGGAAATTTTATGCATTTTCTTTTACTAAGGGTACTACTTGAATAAAACTTATGTTCAGTTATAAAGCATTATATGATCATCACACTTTGGTGGACATATCAATAATATTAGCTCTAAAATTATTTAAAGAATGGAGTAAAATGTCATCAAACTTTATCTTGGTGTATATATTTAGAAAACTTCTTTGAAGTTCAAATTGGAGAAAGAACTGTGAATTATTTCATTAATAAATTAGTTTCGTTGGATTAGTTTCATATTTTACTTTTTTTCTATTAATTCTATTAAATATCATGGAAGCAAAAGTTTTTCATTTAGATAATTTCCACGAACAACTAACAAATCGAATGAAGCATTCGATAAGATGGAAAACTTTCAAACATTCAATTTTATATCGAGATTATTGCTTGTCTTCTTTTTATTTATGTTCTTTTGCAGTAAAAAAAATTAATTAGTATCACAGAAGAATTTTACTTTTCTTTTCAATTTCAAATTTTAAAATTTAACAATTGTTTATGCAGAGTGACTCTGCATAAACATAGTTTGCTAGATAATTGTCTTCAAATCGTTTGATTGATATTTCTTTTTGATGGAAATTTTATATTTTTAAATCACGTGAAAATATTCAATTTAAAAACAAATTAATTTTTATGTGTTCGCTAGCACTTTAATGCTGTGACATCAAATTATTTTTCAATATTAAAATGTTTCAAATGTTTGTTTTCTTAACATATTTTTGCTTATCCGTAAATAATTCCAAACACCTAAATATTTATTGAATAAAATCACGTAACTCAGCAATAAGAATTAATTTCCATTTTGTCCTTAATATTATGCAGATTCATCGAATTAATTAAAAGTCAAAACAAATTTTATTCTTCTGATAATTCTAAGACTGCTAAAAGCTTCGTCAATTATCAACAAACACACAAAATGAAAAGAGACTTTTTAAAAGCTACATTTTTAAAATAATACTTAATATAAGTATTACTACATTATTGAATAATGATTATTCACCAATTAATGTCCACGTCACATTTGACATACCTAACAAGAATGTTTTTTTCACATTTTATTTATCTGATGAATATCAGAATCCTCCCGCAATGACAATCAAACTCCAATAAAAAAAACTTACTGTGATACTATCAATCTTTACTACAACTTTCACGAAGTAGGAGACATTAAAAACTGTTTGCTTCTGGCCCACTTGCCCACTTTTAATCTATTCTAATAAATAACATTCTAAAGCTAATATCATTGGAATACGATTATTGAGAGAGCAAGAACGATAATTATAACAATAATGATAATAATGAGAATAATTATAATTGTTGTTGATGTTGCCTGATGTTGTTGAGATCCTGTTGAAAAGCCCAGTATGATCACTAAAATATCTTATATTAGTACCGTTGTCTTTACAATTGAAAGAAGACAAGAAGAGAAAGAGAAAAACTTTGAGAAAAATTCTTAAAATATTATCATCAGCAGCTGAAGTTAGTCATTTTTCATTCGACAACAATGGGAATTGATCTTGTTCGATGGGTTTTTTTAACCAATTGCCTAACTCTTCCCGATGAAATGCTGAGATAAGTTCACGTTTTGCATTCTATCGCACGAAGAAAAGAAGAAGATTTATTTGAGTAATAAATAAAAAGAATGAAATAAGAAATTATGAACCTGATAATCGATAGCAGTTGCTTTCTCTTCTGCATAATCTTTCTCTATGGAGCGATTAACAATGCCTGGTAATTGACTTGTAATGCGTGCAAAGCGTCGAAACATACTTTGCTTTGTAAGTCTCGAATACCGATTGCAAACTGTTTTTCCTGTGAAACTATTTATAATTTCCACTTTATCTAAATAAATTTCAATAATTTATTAAAATGATGAGGATAAAAATATATTTTTTGTGTCTACCATTTGAATTGCAAATAACCCAATTAACAGAATAATTTGGTGGTTTTAACTGACATCTTGCTTCGGATGATGTCACAAGTGCTAACTTTGGTATGTTAAGACGATAAGGCGGTGGAAGTGCTTGAATTGATTTCTCCAAACGACCAGCTATTGCGCTAAATATTCACAAATTCATTTAATTAATTTTATCAAAAATTATCTCAATCCAATATCTACGTAAGTATTTGGATGAGTAAAACGATTTAAAATCTTAAAAAACATACCGGTACATATGATTTGGATGAAGCAACGATCCTAAAACAATGGAGTGCAGATAAACTGGTTGCACAATGGAAGAAAGGAGTGCACCTTGCAAGCCCAGCACGTTCCATCGAGCAATTTTATCTGAACATGACATTGTCAAAAGTCGTTGACCCTAAAAAATAATTTTGCTTTTAATTATTCATGCTATAAAATCAAAAAATATATGAAACTCACATTTAAGACACCATCCCACGTCTGGATACCATCACAATTTTTGACTGGTATTGTGCCTTCACCTGACTCAACCTTTGTTCGAAGCTGACCACGAGCTTTTCGATTCGGATGCTTATCCAGTGCTTGATCATTTTCATGAGGTGAAAAGACGCGAGCATCACCACATGGTGCTGTATTTATATAGAGATGAAATTGAATATTGTCTTTTAAACGATACAATGGACAGTTTGCTGTTGGCTTCATGAACACAGATTCCTTCACTGTTTCTGACTTTAAGTGCAACTCCAATTGATCATAAATGAAGTTGATGAAACAACGTCTCGCAACAATTTCTGCATGTGAATCGTTAACAGCAAGTCCATGTTCACTAATGTATTCACCGCTAATACATTTTGTTCCTGTTGTTACTGTTATAACTTTTGCTGATTTAATATCACTGCCAGCAGTCATGACGATACCAGCAAGGACTTTTCTTCGTGCATAAACCTCATTTCCAACCATCAGCTCTTCGTATTTTGTTGACACTAAACGACCAATCACATCTGCGAATGTTTGTTGCAACTCAACATTAAGGTTGCTTTTCTTTGGCTCAGTGCTGTTGACATCATCACTTGAATCGGTCTCTATGTTTGTATTAACCGGTAGAAGACCCTTTTGATTCAACGGACTGAATGAAATGTCACATAAAGAAGCGAGAGCAGCTTTTGCTGCGGCATTCTTTGACAGTTTTTTTGAAGGACCTAATAATGTTAAATGACAATCTACTATCAGTGCATATGACAATCGATATTGATTTTTTACCAGTTCCTTCAAATTGACATCCATTCACAGTCACTTGTGTCTTGAATTTTGCGTGTTGCGGTCCAATCGTTTGTGTGCAACTAAAATTGATATCTGTGAATAACTCATAGAGAAGCATCACCGGGCCTTTCTCTGTCGTCATCTTGTTCTGACAATTTGAGCTTACAATCGATTTGCTGATTTCTGTTTGCAATTTCATGATGATGATGCAAGCATAAAGGAGTTTAAAGAAAAAGAAAGGAAAGAAGATGGGAAATGAAATATTCAAATTAGTTGACATATGATTAATGATAACGCATGATTAAGCACAAACACATTTTTACCAAAGAAGAAAAAAGAAAGGAAAGAAAAGAATTGATAAAAAAAATTCTTTTTCCTTTTCTTTTCAAGGCAGATATCGGAGAACTCAATAAATCAAGTTCATGCTCCATGAACGGAAGTAATAATAATTGAAAATCGTTCTTTTTCTTAAGTCTTCCAATACGGCGGCTTAAAAATATTTAGAACATTTTAATGTGTTTCTTGTGTAGAATGAATGTTGGAAAAAGCATTAAAAAATTAGACAACAAAAATTATACGTAGATTTTTAGTAGCTTTAGGAACTTAAAAGAAAGGAAAGAAATAAAGTTTCTCTACCATTACTACGATGGTTATAATGGTATCACATGATCCACAAGCCATGCTTAAAAGGCTAATGTTTGTGTATTGTGAAGAGTTAAGAGTCACATGTTATGATGCTTATGATTAATGACATGAAACGTGAGATAATTTAAGATATTTATAAGATGCTGAATTTACTATTTGCGACAACTTTTTGGGTTTTTATGACACATGAAAAGAGAAAAAAAAACCGATAAGTTAAATCAACATCATCTATCCCTTTTCAACATTTAATTGATTGATTTTCTTGACTGTTTCAGCTTCTTATAAAATATCTTAAGAAAAATGAAATAACATCAAAGAATATCAAACTAGATTCTAAGCGACTAAGCACACATCTTTTGGTAATCTTTGTATTTTACTTTTATATATATAATAGATTAAAGATTAAAGTAAATAAAATGAAGGAAGGGTTGGAATATTAACAGGTAAGGATCGGAAACTTAAATTTAACATAAATTATAAGACTAAAATAAATACTTGCTTTGAAGTCGATTGACCCATGCAATGTTTTGATTTTCTGTATTGGATTTCAAACATTCTAAACTTTGTTGAATTTTCTTAACTAAATTGTCATCCTCTAATGTGTTGGTCTGATTGTTTATCGAATTACTGACTGTGTCGCTTATTTTAATGGAATTAGAACTTAAAATACCAGTATTCTCAATGTGCTCATCGCTCGTAAAATCAAGATTGTTATTTAAATTTGAGCTGATGCCTGATAATGAATTGGACGATAAACGACTATTTATACCAATGACACCGTTCTTTATTTGCTGATCTTTAAACTGAATGAAATCGCGTAGTGCACTGCTAGCCGCATCGATGCGCGCTAACTTTTTCGACTTTCCCTGACCGACATATTTCTGCCCATCAACCTAAGGAAGCAACATAAAAATATCTTACGTAAGGATTCCAAGAGAAATCAGATTCAAGACAATTTACTAACCATGACCGACATTGTGAAGACAGGCGCATGGTATGGTCCCTCTTGAGATTCCAGCTCATACACTAAATTCTTTTTCAATTCATTGAGTATTGCCACAGCATTTTTTGGTTGTGGTTCTTGGTTTGATGATCCTGAACCATTTCCTTTACGTCGCTTTCGAGACGATGCTGAAAAAATATTTAAAATAAATGATAAAAATTTTGGCAGAAAAAATTTGCAATTAGATGTGACAAATGAATTTCTTACTTTTGGGAGAATCTGCTGAACGTTTTTTAGGATTCGATGTTGAAGTCGGAGAGCTATCATTGCTGGTCTTGTGATTGATACCATTTATTATAGAAGTACTGCCACTCATTATACGATCCGTTACAATATCTGACTTCATCTGTATCGTCATCATAGCGAAAATTAAATGACCCAGACAACGAATTTGCGAATTTATGCAAAAAAAAGGGACAATAGGAAAAAATCAATAATACAAAAAGAAAATTCAGAGAATCGATAAAGAGATTTTGTTGTATTGATGCAGATCAATCCATTTAACTCCGATTATAATATTATTCACAAATCCACTAACACTTCCTGCACTTGTTTGTCCTAAGGCTAAGTATATATTTTTATTGTTTTACTGCATCAATCTGTTTTTTTCTGTTTTTTTCCTTTGATCCTACTCGACTTGCTTCCCGATTGTTTTTTTTCTGTCTAATAGGGTTGGATACGGGTTTGATGAAAAATAGAAGATATTTTGATATTTAATATTTTGAACACATATACCTAGCTTTAAAAATACAATTTGAGTAATATTATGCAATATCAGGACTATATACGAATTTTAGAAATTTATAATAAATAATGCGCACAATTATAATTCGAACAAGGACATTTGGATCAAAACACTGTCAACCGCCCTAACTTCAAAATTTTCGAAAATGAATTCAAATTGTTTTAATCATTCTCAGGCAACGGTGAAATTTATCACGAATCTTAAATTTTGTCTACAATTTAATAAATTTGTTACTTAATCAGTACTTTAAAATGGATTATGATTGGGATTCGGTTCAAGTTGGTCGTCCGGAGTTGAATAGTTCTCAAAACTTCTTTCGTGAGTAGGAAATATCAATAATAATTTTATAAGCTTAAAATTCTTTTTTCAGGAGTCCGTCACGTCTTACATGAAAAGGGAGTACTCAATTCGAATGGTGAGACCTTAACGTTTATACTTAAGCATTTTAAATGTATATTAACTTTAAATTTCAGATGCTCATTTGGAAGAGCAAAAGAATAAAGAATCAAATATTCCAGAAAAGAAACCTGAAAAGTCAACGACAGGTAAATTAGGTTTTTTTCTTTTTGAATATCATTTGCATATCGGTTTGAGATTATCGCCTCACGACCTCATTCAATTTTCTCGCATCCCTTTTAACTTATGTTTTTCCTCACGAATATTTTTCATAACAATTATTTTCTATTCCATTTATTCTACCAGTTACCAACATCGTTGATACAAAAATATGCAAGGCAGAAAAAGAAAATGTTTCATCTATCAACTACAACAATCGAGCAATTTTGGCGGTGTCAATTATTAAAAAACCAATGGACACCAATGTTAAAAATACAACATTGTTAAATAATCTCAAGAAATTAACTTTGAGTCAGAAATCAGGAGTTCCAGTCGAACAAGGAAAGCAAAGGAAAACAGCAAAATCTGCATCTATTAAGTGCAACAATAATGACCGATTAAAAGCAGGAAAGTTTATTGAACCTCTTAGAGCTCCAGTTATTAAAAAACCTATTATTGGGCAACGTCAATTTGAATATGCGGAGGTTCAGAAAAAACGCAAAGAACTCCTCGTTCAGAAAATAAAAGAGCAAGAAGCAAAAGAGCTGAAATTTCAATTTCATGCGAATCCAGCACCAAACTTGAAAAAGAAAGTCCCTAATTTAGTATCGATAAAGCAAAAATCTGTAGAAGAAAAACCAAACAAACAGAAAACTCTTGTGAAACAAAAGTCTCTACCTTGTGAGGAAGTGTCTAAAAAAATATCGAAGGAGAATAACGTACCAAGTTGCGGTGATCCTGAACGTTTGAAATTATTGAACGAGAAGAAGAAAATGCTTGTTGCTAAATATCAAGAGAAACCCATTCAATTTAAAGCAAAGCCAGCTTTGGTATTGAAGAAACAACCTTTCCAACCAATTCATAACAACAACAAGATTGTCGATCCAAAACCCTTTAATTTGCATCTAACCGATCGCTTAATTATGCGTTCTGAATTCGATCGTAAACTTCATGAAACAATTGCTATTCGAAAGAAACAAGAGGAAATACGTGTTAGACAACAAACACTTGAAGAACGCAAATTGATCCGACAAAAGACAGAATTCAAAGCAAGAATTAATCCATTCCGTAACCGTCATTAAACTTTAACTACATTCACAACAATCACAGCTAGAACGTTTATACAAACCAAAGTTGTGATTTTAAGCTTCTTTTTATCTTAATATTATCAGCATAAACTAACCATTAACATTCTGATTAACATACATTTCATTAAATCTGTTTTGAAAGTGTGTAGTCATATTTTTCAGCTACAATGGTAAACTAACTAAACTTTTTTTTATATATTTTTATAACAGTTATTATGATTTTGAAAAAAGTTATTAACCCCTGCTAAGAATAAAGGTTGACAAGGGAGTCAAACTCGGTCATTTTTTGTGAAAATTCTTTGAATTACGAAAAAAATTTTGATAAAGAAAAAATATATTTGTTTCAAGCAACGAAAAAGTATTCATCAATTGATATACTCTCAACTCAGTTTACAGATCATAAATCATATATTTGTTAGTTTGAAAAAGGAAATATAAAAAAATGAGTAAGTTGAGAAAAGAAGATTCCAGAAAATTAATTAAAGATTGTTTCACGATGACAAAGATATTTTTCTTATCTTATCTTTCCTTGCAATGATAATCATTCATTGATATTGATGACAATAAATTTCTTATTCTCTTCAGCATCACAATACGGTTGGAATACCAATTCAACATGGGGAAGCAACAGCAAGGAAAATGAGTCGTTTAACTTTCCTTCAATGCCTAATTTCTCATTTAATCAAGGAACAATTCGAGCAAAATTCGTACAGAAAGTCTTTTCTATTGTTTCTGTAAGTATCAGTTATCAAAAAAAAAATCGACAGATACCTTCAAGAGTACAATTGAAGATGATGAAATTTCTTACGTGTCTTTTGCATAATTTATAAATAATAAAAATAATCTTGATATTTATGTTTCTTTTATTTATTAATAGGTTCAACTTGCTATAACACTTGGATTCATTGCACTTTTTACATTCCATCAAGGAGCTGTCAAATATGCTTTCGCAAACCCATGGATGCTCAACGTTTCAATGATATCTACTTTAATATTGACGCTTGTTATGAGCTTCTCAGTTTCTGCTAGACGAACAGCTCCACTCAATCTTATTATCCTTGGCGCTTATACAATTTGTCAAGGATTTCTAGTTGGAATCATGTCCAGTTTTTATCAAGTTGAAGAAGTTTTGTATGCTGTTGCAGTAACTTGCGCAATTGTTTTTGGTTTGACAATTTACGCCACAACCACTGACAAGGATTTTACCATGTAAATATTTTGAAAATTATTTTGTTATTTCGAATTTAATTCTTAAAATATTTTTCTTATTCAAAGGAAAGGGGGAATGATGTTATCTGTTATTATGGCTCTATCTATTGGAAGTTTGGTCAGCATTTTCTATCGTGGGGAATTCTTCAACTTCATACTGGCAGTTGGGGGTGCAGCAGCATTTTCAATGTACATCATCTATGACTTACAAATGATAATGGGCGATAGGAAATTAAACATCTCACCTGAAGAATATATTTTTGCTGCTTTAAATCTCTATGTAGACATTATTCGTATCTTTATGGAAATTCTCAAAATTCTACGTTATTTGAATGAACAATCGCAAAATCAGGAACGGAAGAAGAAGAGAAATTAATTTTTTTATTTTATTCTTTCTTTGGAGGATCTTTGTTATTTTCTCATGAAAGGCAAGTAATCTGTCTGTACTTTCAATATTCAAATATGTATATTTTTGTGGTGATGTAAATCTGGAAGAATCAATAAAATTTATTTCATTGTGAAAAAACTTTGAAGAGGTTTTTAAAAATTAAAACATTAATTATCTACCTACATTGTTTTGTCACTTCAGACTTAAAAACTTTATCCGAATTCTGATCTAATTTGAAGCCCTGAGGTTGTTACAGTATTCTTATCTCTCTATTTTCAACCTCTATGACACAAAAATCAAGATAACAAATACCAACATACATAGCTACAACTTTGTGGAAAGTCTATCAATATTTTTAATGTTATTTAAGCTTCACCCTAGTTTTTCTTATGTGAAAATTATTTCTGAAGTCAAACCATGTGGTTTGAAAAATGTTACAAGAATACTTGTGAGTGCCTCGGAAGAACGTAAGATATGATCAGCATTGTTAATGGAAACAATCATGACTAATTTTAATTATCCTGAAATGATTTCAGTTGGTGCTGTATAAGTTATTGCAATCTTGGACGTTGCTGTTTGATAATCAATCTGGTTGTTATTTCAATAGGTCTCATAGTGTTGGCTTTGATTCTTCTATGACACAATAAAGCCTGATGTGATAAAGCGTCATGATGATTAATGTGATTAGATGTGTTAAGATCAAATCAAATGACGATAAAAGTAAAGTAAGTGCACACAGATATTATAATAAGCATGGAATTATTTATTAATGACTTTTATTTCCCCTACAGTTTCATGATCATTTAGATATTAGTCACTTTTAGAATCTTTCTGTCCTTATCTAGAAATCGATAATGTCAAAGGATGAATTACCTGCACTCGACACTTTCGATTTAGCCACTCGATTCGGGAAAATAAGCTATTAACCAATAATTTGATAAGATTAAAAGTTTGAGTAACCAATGCCTAAATATCTATTCGTCACTTATTCATTCAGTACACTTTACCTACTAGGAAGTGGACGTATCTGAGTTCGTTAATTTTGCGAAGAAAACGTAATTCTAGGCAGTCAGCCATGTGTTCTTGTATATGTGATTGCATTACCAGTACTTGCGCATGTTGTGCAAAAACGTGAGCTTGAACTTGCAACCGACATTCTACAAAAGTTAAAATAATTTATTGTTACAGTTGCTGTTCATGTGTTGCTTGTAGCATCCAAACAATTTTGATGTTTTGTCTTGTGCCAATTATCATCTTACTAATAATTGCCGGTGTTGTCCTTTACTTTTTTTATTTTAATAATTAAAGTAAACATTTACGATACAGCTGATCTAAAAAGAAGAAAAAATATTAATATGCAAATACTACTCCCGTGAATTGAAAACATAAAATTTTTACTCTGTAAATTTAGATCTAAATTTAATGTTAGTGCAACGATTAAATGAAGGAAATTGACTGAAGAATGAAGCTTAAGTGCAATACCTAAATTAATAAGTCTTATTACTTTATTTCTAATCATATTAATGTACATATTTATATGAACATACAGTTGCGTGATTTAAGTTGTCATTAATCACTGGCTGGGTAGAATTTTTAATCAGAACTTTCCTATCAACAAAATGTTGAATTAGGTATCAATAAATATAATTAGATATTTCAAACTCTTCGGCTTGCGACGTTTTTGCTATTTTAACAACATTATCTATTAGATAAGAATTCATTTGCTTTAGCCTGAGGGTTTGGTGAAATAAATAACAACCGAAGAAAACATTCGAGACACTTAAATTAAAGAGTCTATCACCCGAAAGAGAAGCATGGATATAATGCCGATTTATTAGAGAAGTGCCCAAAAAAATTAAAATTTCTGAGGTAATAACAAAATTAACACATTTTATATTAAAGTTTTAAAAAAATGAACACTGACTGATGAATTGTTAAAACGTTAATCCAACTACTAACTTGTAGACAAAAAATTACATCTGATAATGTAAAAGCTTCTTCAGTGGACTCCTAAAAAAAGAATTTATTAAATATTTTTTTTTTATTTCAGACTTGATGACCGTTTGAAGGAATTTCTGCATTTTTTATTAAAGAAGAAAATCAATTGAAACTCTATTCATAATCAACTACCTACTTAATTGTGTATCTACATATCCCGCGTCATGTGCTGCTCTTATACATAGTATCTACGATGAATGTTTCAATATTTTTGAATAAAATGAGTAGAAAAATGTATTTGACTTTTTATATGCTTGAACAGGAATATCAATTTAGTCACATTTTATTTTATTAAAATCACTTCTAATTTGATATCAGCAATTCTTGTATTTGAAAAGCTTTTTATGCAAATCTTGAAACTTTTTCTATTAGTGGTAAATTCTAAAATAAGTTATGATTGATAAACATTTGTTATCAGCCGTTTTTATCAGTTTAGTGTGATGAATCACTTGATATCGATGTACATATGTGAAATATAATTATCGACCATAAGTTCATTGAATAGCAACCTGTGTGGTGCTAAATTCTTAATATTATTTTTTTGATATTGCATTTACATTTTAAAGAAAATTAAACATGTGTAAATGCATTGGAGATTGTTGTAAATGTCTTGTAGATGCGTAAGTGTAAAATTTAAAATGATGAACATTTATTTCTTCTACGGTGATGATTAAGTTTGTCACATTTCCACAGAAAAATATTAAATAGTTAAAAATTTCCCACAGATGCTGTTCTTGCTGTAAATGTTGCACAACAACCATTTGTATGTTGATTGGAGGACCTTTGTTGCTGCTACTAATCATAGGATTGATCATCTTCCTTGTGTTTTTTGTGTTTTAGTAAAAGTCAATAAATTTTTCATGGTTTTGTGTATGCATCACCTTCTTTCTTATCAAATAAATTATAAAAATATATTTTAAGCTTTTCACAAAAAAAAAGATAAGACAATCCGATCAGACAACTTTACCTGCAATGAAGCTTTGAAAACGTTCTTAATGTTAAAAACAATTTTTTTGCTTTCAAAAGCCGAGAACAATTTTCTTTATTTTCTTTTTCTTTAATTTTTATAAGACAAAATTACAAATTTCAATCAACATAACATGACGCTCGTTGTTTTAATAATAAAAAATAAGAAGAAAATTATCTAATCTAAAAATTATACGAATAAAAAAATAAAAAATCATTTATAAAAATACTTTAAGTTGTCATTGTTTCTACATATGAATCTATATCAATTCTAAATATTTTTTATGATTTAAAATATAAAAGAAAAGAGAATAAAATGTTGAAACAATTGGATTTAATGGAGTAAAAATTTTCGCACATGATCGTAAGTCGTTAAATGGATGATCGACAAATATTTCGATAATAACGTCCAAGATCTTTGGGTTGACCGCCCATTCGTTTGGCGTTTATTGTGGTGGTCCATAAGCACCATAAGCATAGTTTTGCTGTCCTGGAGGTGGACGTTGATATTGATAATTTGGATTTGGTGCTGCATAAGGTGGTTGACCTCCCATCGGTGCATATCCTTGTTGTTGGTGTTGATAATGATGTGGATAACTGTTGGGTTGATAAGGTTGACCGGGAGATTGTGGATACACTGGACCTCCAGGTCCAGAATATGGAACTGGTGGTGGTGGAAAACTTCCTGGTGCTTGGCCCGATCCCGGTGGCTGATAGTTGGGATTTGGCTGTGATGTTGGTGGAGTTGGAGTGCCTGAAACAGGTGGTGGCGGCTGTTGAGCATAAGGAGACGGTGCGGAAGTTGAAATTGGAGGTGTTGGAATTTGTGGATTTGGAGACGTTGCTTGAGATTGCGGACTTTGATTATTATTGTATGTTGGACCACTACTCGTCGATGGAACTTGTCCAGAGGTTGTTGAAACTGGAGGTTGCTGTGGAGGAGCCTGTGGTTGTCCTGGTGGGATAGATCCAGGCGCCATTGCTTGTGGGACCTGCTGTACAACTGGTGGTTGTCCATAAGGGTATGGTTGATACGGTTGGCCTGGAGGAATATAAGGTTGATTTGGATTTGGCGGTATTTGTCCTTGTGGATAACCTGGAGCTGGATAAGGTGAATATCCCATTGGAGGGGGCGGTCCGTTGGCAGGAACCGGATATTGTCCTGAAGGAGGTGTTTGTTGTCCTGGATACTGAGCATATTGTGGACCCGGTGGATGTTGATACGGTTGAGGATTTTGTGGAGCTCCAGGATGATGATAAGGTCCTGGTGGTGCTTGATAGTTTTGATTTGGAGGCGGTGGTCCATACATTGGCGGATAACCTGGCTGATAAGGCTGATTTTGGGGAGGATAACCAGGATAATGAGGATAAGCGCGCTGTTGATAAGATGGCTGTGAAGGTGGTGGAGTGTTCTGTTGTTGCTGTGGTGGGGGAGGTCCTGGTTGTTGAGAAACAACATTTTGAACTGATCCTGGAGCGACATTCCCTGGTGATGAACGATTTACTTGCGCTGAGTTTGTAGTTGCTTGTGAAGTTGGTGTAGCTTGTGATGAAGGAGTATTCGGGGTTTGTGCTCGGTATGGCTGACCTGACGGTTGAGAAATATGTGAAGGTTGTATTTGACCCGGTGGAACTGGTCCTGAAGTAACGGGCTGTTGTTGAGAATTCTGAAGAGGAACTGGAGCTTGTTGTGGAATCTGCGAATTTATTGCCACAGCATTGTTATAGCTTTGCTGAGGTTCAGACATTTGAGGCATAGGTCCACCTTGTTGCAAGACATGAGGAGGCTTAAAGGAACATAATTAAAATTTTAACTTTCGTTATTGATGAAATTGTATTTTTAGTGAATTATTGTTTACCGGCAAAAGTTGAGCCATGTTTTGTGAAGAATCAGCTAATTGAGCCAAATATACGAGATTGCGATGTAAAGCTTGGTGATACGACATACATTCAACTGCTTTTCCCATATTCTGGTAATCTTGAATTGTCTGAATTAGGCCACAATTTTCGTCGAGGATTTTCTGAATCTGTGCTGGACTTGGAGGCAATGGTCCAGGCCTATCAATGAAAAAGATATATTTATTTAATGAAATGTATTAACACATTTTATATTACAACACATTATATTATTTTATTTCAATTTACCTTTGTTGGTGTTGTTGTGGTTGGTTCGGCGGAGGACCACGATTTTGATTTGGGTTTTGGCTTGGATACGAAGAAGCTACCGACATCTTAAAGATGTTTTAACTATTCTTTACAATTTAAAATTTCTTTATAGCTTAAATTGGGTTCTTTTCAGTTGATTTTCCTTAAAAATAGTTTTCAAAAAAATTGAGAATAAAGCTTGGGCAAACTTTTGAATCACTCTGTGCGGCATATGCGGAAAAAAGTGCGTCTTATACGAGGAAATTGTAAATGTATGGTTATTAAAAATATTTTGGGTGAAATGATGGCAAACAAAAATAAATGATAGAAAAATAATATTTTACTAATTATTCACCTGTCAAGTCAACTGCTGCTCAATATTTTCTCAATTTCTTCGATATTATAGCAAACAAGCTTTAAATCTTTTCATACCATAGATCTGTGTTTATTTTTTAGTCAGACATGGAAGACGGTAAATACAAAAATTTGATACAATATGAAATGATTTATAGAATTCTTAGTTTTGCTAATTAAAGTTTACTATTTATTTAATTAATATTAATAGATATGGAGGAAATCTTAGATCGCCATCGTGCTGAGAAGAAAGATTTGCGGAACAAAATTATTAACATGAAAAGAACAAGTGGGAAAAAGGATAAAAAGAAACTTCAAGAAGAAATAACTCAGATGGAGAATGATATGATAGCAAGACATACAGAAGAGCTTGAAAAGCTTAAACTTGATGATTCAAAAGAAGAAGGAACTTCGCCTCAAATACCTCATCAGGAAAATATTGAAGTTGTTCAAAGAATTTCCAAGGCACAAAAACGACGTGATAAAAAGGAGCAAGATGCAAAACGACGAGAAGAAGAATTAATCCAAGCTGAAGAAGATAACAAAAATTCTTCTAGGAACCTCGAAACGAAAGCGATAAATTTAATTCTCAAAGCTAGAAATTTGAGTCTTCATACAATCAAATCTGATGGTGATTGTTTGTACAATGCTCTAAAATATCAATTAGAACAAGTTGGAATCAATCAAACAGTTGAGTCGCTGCGAAAAATAGCTGCTGATTACATTCGAGCAAACAAAGATGATATCATCTGCTACATGACAAGCTCAAAATCTGACGATTTAATGTCGCAAGATGAATTTAATGATTATTGCAATCAAGTTGAAAATACAAAAGCTTGGGGGTCACAAATTGAAATTCAAGCGATATCTCATAGTTTAAAAGTTATCATCGAAGTCCTACAATCGTCAGGAACACCAATAATAACGGGCAGTGATTTTGTTGGACGTCCACGTTTAGTGGTCACTTATCATCGTCATTTCTTTGGCCTTGGAGAACATTATAATGGCACCAAATTTGCCAGTTCTAACGAAGATAGTGAAGAAGTTTATTAACACCTTAATTAAAATATTCTTTTATAATTCAAGCACTTTGTATTTCAAGGTTTTTTTATCTTTATTTTACAATCTTTTAAGTTAAAATAAAGTGAAGCAATCGAAATTACAATTTCATTTTTTTTTTGATCATTCTTAGAAAAGAGCTTCAAATGGAAATCTGGCTTATTTTCGTAAAAAAAGAGAAATAATTAATATTGTTGTTGTTGTTGATTTTGCCAAGGAGCTGTTGGCTGTTGTTGAACCACAAAGCCTGGCTGTCCTTGAGGTGGATAACCAGGTTGTTGTGGGGGATAATATCCAGGCTGTTGAGGTGGATAATATCCAGGTTGTTGGGGTGGATAACCAGGTTGTTGTTGCCACTGCTGACCTTGATCGTACATAGGTGGGGGCTGTTGATAAGGATCTTGAGGCGGCGGTTGGGGAACTATCACCGTTTGCTGTTGTGGTTGAGAACTTTGACCACCATCATCACAACAACATTTCTTACAAAGAACACAACATCCAAAGCAAAGTACCATCTGGCAGAGACATTCTGTCAAATCTTAAAGAAGAATCAAATCGCATACGCCATTTTAGTTTAATTCACTTTAATACTATTGAATTCAATTCTTACCATCTTCACACATTATGGAATTGAAGTTTCTTGAAATTTATTCAGCAAAGAAAAGAAAGCAATGTCTTTACCCAGAGAATTTTGCAATAAAGAAATTAAAATATACGAAAGTTTCTCTGTTCACCTGATTCAGAATTTCAACAGTAATTGTATTGAATTTTATCAGCATTGAGTCATAAAAGATAAAACACTTGTAATATGATAAGGGAAAAAGTCATAATATGATTGTGTGAATGAAAACGAAACGTTGCGATAATCTTAATGCATAAGTTGGACAAGCTTTTAAGAGAAGCTTAAAATGAATTCTTAATTTTTTAATGATAAATATTAAAAAGCTCAATATTAATTTTATTTTTAAATATCTCATTCATTGTCTTTATTTTCACTAAAATTTATAATGAAATCTTTAAATTTTTTTTCAAATTAAAGAAATGCTGATTGATTCTGAGATTTCTTAACATTATCCTAGTTGTGATTTTTATTTTAGGTGTTCATAAAAAAGAAAGATTTAAAGCTTCCTAATATCGGTGAAGCATTAATTTTTAAGGTTGAAGCAAATTGCACTAGAAATTAATGAAAATAATTTTGTTCGATAATCTAAGTTTTATATCCATTCTTCGGGCATCATCAGTGATGCCATTTATCCAGGTTGCTGCGAGGGTCAACGAGTCAGTTGGACTACCGTTAGAAGCGGACGGAACACTTCTGCTGTCCACATTGCGAAACAAATATCCAGGCGCAATAGGACTAATATTTAATGATCCTGAAAGCAGAGAAGTGTTTGCAGTCAGATTCAATGGCTCTCGTTTCCTTCCTGATCCGGGTGGATGGAATAATCAGCTTGTTTATTATTGCACTTTTCCGAGAGGTACGAGCAGGAATATTGAAAATGCATGTTGTTGTTGTTCGAGTAGAATTAAAGGAAATTTTATGCCAAACAACAATAATGCATATTGAATATCTTTTTTAATGGCTTAATCAGACTTTATAATGAAAAAGCCAGTGATAAAGCCTAAATAAATTTTTATTTTATCAAAGACTAAAAAAGATCTTCAATATATTATCAAAAAACAGGCGTGAAATGTTAATCCATTACAACAATAATGTAGAATATGACACGGAAGACTCGGATATGAAGTTGGTTTAATATAATATATAATATAATATAATTAAACCAACAGAATTTACAGCGAAGCAAAAATTACATGAAATGAAATCAAATTCACCGATAACTTTGATGAAAGATTTCGTTTTTTCTTGAAAGTCCTTACCTGTGGAAAATGAATGAATTCGGGCTTGCTAAACAGCTTCAAACTCTCATTGAGCAACCACAGAAGATGATGAGATGTCATACCAGCACATGCTATTTGTTGTAGTACAAAGAGTCGAATTCATGCATTACACTGTTGATTTTGATCATTTGAGCGTTGATATTGAATCTATCAATTTAAAATAAAATATTAAAGGACTAAAGAAAAAGATTAACAGAAAAGCAACAACAATTAGGTAAATCTGATGGTAAAACAACTTTGAATCACGAAACTATTTAAATCGGACTGAATTTAAAAATTAAAAAGTGGTAACGAGAATGATTAAATTTCAATTCATTTAATGTTTCAAATCAGCATAAAAAAATGGAAGGAAATGATAATGAATTCAGAATAGAAGGAAGAAAATTAAGAAAAAAACGCACATTGACTTTTTTTGTTTCGCTTTTGAATGAATGACATTTTTATAGGTAGGTAATTAGATAACTTACTTGTTTTCAAGGTGTAATGGTATGCCGTTGGTTGAAGCATGATCAGAAATGGCGTTTCTAGATTTTCGGTTATAAATAACCCTCACTGCAGTGCCACCATCATTGAATCCACGAATGGGACGAAACAAAAGAAATTTAATATTAGAATATGAAATTTCCATTGTTCTACCTAGTAAGACAACACGTGGAACACATTTAACATGTACTCACCGTTTCCTAAATGAATTGCGCTTGATTGAAGATCGACTGTAAGTGATCGTCTTTCATAACGATTATCAGCTTTTGATGTGAAGCTGATTTTAGAAGCTTAATCATGGCATCCCCGCACTCATTGTTATTTTAAAGTTAACACGATGAACACTTTCTTTCTTTGCAATCTAAATGTGTCCATTTTTTAGATTCTGGGATAAGAACAAAAACAAACAATTGAAATGAAAGTCATTCAAATATTTTTTTAAGATGTAAATTCTTTGTTATATTCAACAAATTTTGAATAAGAGCATCAAAATGTAACAAAGATCAATATTAATAAAACTATTGAAACATTTTTAATACCTTCATTCAATTATTTTCGCTGCTTTTAAATTTTTGACTACTTACCCATGAGGCATGATTGACAAATGGTTGAAAAATGAATTCATTCGAAAGTTTTCGAAGATTTTAATAGAAATCCGAATTGCGAAAAATTGATGCAAAAATTTAAAAAATCGTTTCAAAATTTTCGTTAGGAAATAAAACGCAACGGAAATTATACGATTTAGTGATCATCCTATCTTATTAAATTAAAACTTATTTTAGCTATTTTCATAATTATAGAGGTGACACAGTTTCATCAACCAAGTTCTTCGCATACAGTTGATCAAAGAATAAAAGAAGATGTAAAAAATTCGTAAAACCTGAAAATATTAAAAAGCAATTAAGAAGTTCTGTTGATAACATAAATTTATTTAATGCCGCAATGTTGAGAACATTTTTATTTTTAATCATTCAATTTCTCATAAAACATATTCTTCTTGTTTAATTTACAAAAACAGCTTGGTATTTGGACTTTTGCTGAATTTCCACTGCCATCGAAACATTCTCATCAATAATTGTCTCTGATTCTTGTGAAGGTTTTATGGACACATTTCTTGTGTCTCTTGTTTTTCTTGTTAGTGGTCTAAAGAAAATCAGCAATGTGGTCCACAAAAAATAAATTAAAACATGAATAAATAATTTCGTTTCAAACATCATACATTTTATTATTTTATTCCAAAAATTTTAATACCTTAAAATTAAAAATCACATTTTATTATTTACATTTTAGGCATGTAGCTAATTACATGCTTTATGCTAATCTTTGAAGACATGACTTATGATCAGCAAATCTCTTAATTGTTACTTGAACTGTACTTAGCAAATTTAAATACGATTTTGAGCTGCAATCCAATCGATATGTTCGTGTGTTCGATGAACACCGTTGGTAAATTTCTTCTGATTATGATTAAGATAATAATTATTGTTTAACAAACTCTTTTGAATTGAGTGTACATATTTATAAGTGTATTTGTTTGAGAAGCCATTCATGCTTTCGATTGTTGTTTGAGGTGACGGGTTAGAGTACTGTGAAGCAGTTATTTTTTTGCGACAGGAGACGCATGTTTTCTTTGACCAGACCCACATTCCACTGATACCTCCAATTAATAAACAAGCATATCGAATGATAGTGATGTTAATTGACCTCTTTTCAGGTTGATAGCAAACTTCACCCGGTAGGCATGATCGAAGATCAACATCATAATCGAAGAACATCAATACTGTTGAAATGATTGCTGGAATAACAAATATCGTTCCAAAGAAAAGAATTCGACTCATAACTTGAGATAGTTTATTGTTCTTCCACGATGATCTTAAAGAACGAAGTGACTTTGCAGACAACACAATAAATATTGCTCCAATACTTAAAAGAATAAGTGATGGAATTTCTGTGAAGCCAACAGCAGTACACATACCAGTTAATTCAGTCTTTTTAATCACGCCGAATAAAAGTGCAGCGATTGGCGACGCCAAAGGAACTAACCACGCAAGAACGTGGAATAAACCAGACTTTCTCTCTAATGCTTCTGGTGACCATTGCTTGGATGTACTCAACCACCAGCAAAGTCCAAAGATGAACCACCAAAATGATGCACTGATCATGAGATAGTTAATTATAATAAAATATGCGAGGCATTGTGAGTTAATCACACACTGACTTGCACTCATATCGGATGTTTTAATTGCTGAGATATCGTTGAACTCATTTAACTCATCAATTGTTAGCTTCACTGAAGATTTTTGATAGAAAATCTTTAACAAATAACAAATGCTAAGAAGATTATAGCAAAGTGTTAGGAACAATACAGGTCGTTCTGGGAACTTAAATCTCGTCGATTCTGTCCAAAAAGTGATCAATGAGAAAAGTGTGAAAATGAAGCAAAGCACTGAAAACACCAAAATACAAGTCTCGATAACTTTCTTTTGATGTGTCGTGTAAAATGCATCAGTGCCACATTTATATACGCAATTTCCGCGTTCATCAATGGTGAAGTTTTGTGGACATGTTGAGAGTGTTGAAACTTTGTTGTACATTTGATGTGACTGTGTCAATTTCCACCAGAATGTCGCTTGTTGTGGTCGATTGTTAATGTTATATTTTGTCTGGACGACTTCATGGTCATTTTCTTCCACAGACTTAGTTTGGTTTTCGCTGTTATAGTCTCCATCATCAATCATAGCTTCGTCAGGCATCTGCAAATAATTAATTTATTAAAAAGCGATCATAGGTGATTAAAATATTAAAATAACTTACAGTCATGCAAAGTTCTTGCTTCTCCGGCTGTGGCAACTGCTCACAATCAAGAAAATGTGGCCAAAGTTTTATGATTGGATCCTGAAAGCAATCGCTTTTGACCTTTTCGCATACATTACGACAAGCCATTACAGGTCGTGGAATTTCATCAGAACACCAAGGGAAGAGTGATGAGCAGATAAGAAATCGTATCTGACGAGAGCAGTGACTGTTTGTCATTTCAAACACGGGTCGTAATTTAATAATCTGCAAAAATAGAAAATAAGTTAAAGATTATTTATGAAACATTATATTTAAAACTAAATTGAACTCAAATAAATTTATTCTCGAATTTCAATTCAATACTAGGTAAGTTTTAGATGCTTAAATTCAATCATTTTGATTTTTGTAAGAGAAATGTCGAAAGAAAACAATTGTGACAAACGCTGGTTTTGTATTCTTCATTGTTTTAAATTTGAACCTTCAGTTTTTGGTTTTAGTTTTTGCCAACATTCTTGAAGCACTTGCAGAAAAGGAGAGTAAGAAAGGCATCTTCAACAACAAGCAGACAGAAAGGGAAAAAATTAGATACTCATTCTTTCTAATGGATACAATTCCAGTGGAATTTAAATTGATGTCTGCTCTCGGCAAGTTCTTTTTTGACATTGGAGAAGTAAGAAGGATAAAGAAGCTCAAGAATATTCGGAAAAGAATGATGCATTCAGAATTTTTAAAAAGTCCATTAAAAGTGTTATCAGCCGACGAAAAGAAAGAATTTCGATAATAATCCATTAAGACAGAGTTGATTTCTTTTAATGACTAATGCATTGGGGACGATTACTGATAAAGTGTAAGCAAACCTCTAATTAATTATTGGTTCAGTTAACGATTTCGTTTCATCACCATTAGTCCCATTATAATTTTTCAAAATATTATTTACATTACGTCGATAAACGATCGATTAAAAAACTGGATTCTGAGACACTTGCTCTTAAAAGGTATTCAATAAAAATTAAATGCAAATTAAAGCGAGCAGAATGAATTTGTTAATCTTTTATTTCTTTTTTTAGATGCACCTTCAAAGTATTTTGATGCAGGGAATTCATAAAATGAACTTTCAGTTTATCATTGGATTTAACTTATTCATAATATTTTTTTTCTTGAGAAAGAACCGGAAAGTGGTTGAATATCTTAAATCGGCTTTAACGTAAATTAAAGGAGAGAATTCGAATTGCGACCAAAATCACAAAAACAGAAGCTGCTTAAGCTATGAATTCACCACACCATTAAGAGTTAAGTGTGATGGAAAAAAAAATCTTTCTGTCGTCAATTTCTTTTTACTGACGACTCTGCTCGATAATAAAAATTAATTTGCATAATTGGGAATCTCACAATCTATTCTCATTCACAACTTTTTCGAATCACCATAAATTCATAAAACGAAAACGATTTCAATGCGTCGTTTCTGTTTTTGATACAACTTTTAATGAGAAAAATGTTTTCACATCCATTGAAAGAATCTTTTGATGAAAATGCCTAATTAACACATCTAAAAGTAGCAGCCATATGAGAAAAGAAGAAAAAAACCTTTTTATGATTGAAAATTATTTCATCTTATATCATAAATGTTTTTGTGTTTCCATCACATATCATACTATTGAAAGAACGACTTCAAGTGCTTTCTTGAACAGTTTTAGACAAAAAACACTACACTAAGGCGCATAGCATCAATTAGCATGTTGGGTAATGTGTTTTTCTTATTCAGCGGCTGAATCATAATGCCTTTTGAGTTTAAGTGTGATAAAATATTCGTTTCACGCAGCTCGCTGTATTTTATTCTGTTCTATATGATCGCTAAGTGTTGAGATTGAAACAGCGATCGCCACTCAAAAGACTTATAAGCGATGAGACTGCTTATGATGGAAGAATATTTTTTATTTTAAAATTCTATTAATTTCATTAAATTAAATGGGAAAAAAGAAGAAGGTAAAGTCAATTTCACAAAACAGTTCCGACATTCTTGTCGTATTAATCCCCCGAAATAATCTTAATTTAGTTTATATGTTACTTATTTAATTTCTTCTCTTCTTCTCTTTCGTCTATCTCATTCACTGTATTCTCCATACCATTTCAATTTCATACTTTGCCTTTTGTCTTATTATTCTTTTCCTATACTTTTCCTTCCATTCGCTTCTTTAGCTTTGGTCGAATCACAAGATATACCTAATAATAATAAAATTTCATTTTGAATGATTTTTTCCACGACCGCAACATGAAATTGAACTTCTCCCACACCTCGAATTTTCAAATTAGTTCTGCGCTAATGCATGAAGTTTTGATCTGGACGTTCAAAAGAAGTCTATTAGTGATGGATTTTCTCCACTCTTCAAATTTCTTTATACACCACCAAAACGGATTGAAGGTGACTTTTTGTTCTTCATAAGAGTCCACCGATCTTTACAAACTTTCAACATAATCAAGGATATAATTCAGAAACACCACTTTTGCCTCTAGGCATAATCGCAATTTTTTCGTGTGGATCGAATTGATTGAGCACTTTTTTTGTTGTTTTTCTTTTACCAGCTCAAAAAAAGAGCAAAAATGTAAGAAAACAAAAAGGCAAAATACAGCAGGGAATGAAATATATTAAAGAAGAACTGGAAAAAAGATTGTTTTGCGTGCTAAAACTTTGAAGAAGAAGGTTAATATGATTGAGGAAAATAAAATCATTGTGCACCAGCATACATGTGCAATTATAGCGCTTTTCGGTGTTATATAAATGTGATATCGTCATTGGAGCTTCAACCGCCTGCTAATCAAATGAAAATAACACGAAGAGAATAATTATATCTATTATTCAAATATTTCAGGAGATTTATTTAAAAGCTTAGAAAAATGTTTTAGAAAACTATAAAAACAGGAAAGGAAACAAATCCAAACATTGTTGCATGTATACGGTGGAGTCTGAATGGTACCACCTCCGACAAATTTGTTGTTATCTTCCTTTACTTCAATGAAATGGAAGGAAGAAATGAAGAAAAGAGAAATAAAAACCAGCACCATGAGTCTCGCGGTTGACGTCGAAAAGAAACACAAGAGAAACATTATTTTCATTTAAATACTGGTATTTCGTTTGGTTGAATTTTCGAAGCTGACGGTAAATTAAGTCGAAGAGAAGTGTTATTTTTGGCATTATTTAAGATAATTAAGATGAATTTCGAAGCGAATATGACGATGAAGAATAATAAAAGAATACGAAGAAGCATGAGACTCGTAAATTGATGGGAACATTATCGTTGAGTCCGTTGTCTTAACATCAGTATGCCAGATCGTATCAAGAAAGATCTGAATTGAAAAAAGATAAAGCCATGAATAAAAATCATTATTTTACTAAATTTGATTATGGGAGATGAGTCGAATGAAGCATCGATAATTTAAATTCATAATAATGATCACACTTTAAGTTGATACAATAATTTACCAAAAACGACTTCAGCTTTCATCAAACAAGTCAGAATGATCATCATCGTAACGAATAAAAATGAGCATTTGAGTAGATTTGTAGGATCATTTGAGTTAATAAAATAATATCGCTTCATGCTGTGCCGCACATCATTTTCATTATTTAAATCGAACCAACCAATCGTCTTTCAACGATTCCGCAATCAAACGATAACTTCAAACTTCTCAGTATGACGCTTAACGCGAGTTATATTCGCTAATCAGCAGCTCTTGTAATAACCAGCATGTTTTCTTTAGGCTTTTGGATCTCATTGATGCTTTAGGAAAATAAACATGATGTTAAGAATATGTACAAAAATTGAGATGAAATAAAAATCTGCTGACCGCTTCGACAAGACTTTTTCTTTTGCTTTTGAAACAGAAGGTAGATATGCAAGCATTTTTATTTATAAACGATTTAAATATATAAAACGAGATGGTTTTAATCCAATGTATAAAGTTTTGAACTTCTGCAGTTTGATGTCGGCCTTTGCTGTTATTCGCCGCTTTGATATTTTTTTTTTACTTTATTAAAAATATCAACTCATTAGGTTTGGGATCAAATATTAAATAATTTTTTTACATTTAAATATTTATCGGAAAAAATTATAAAACTATTAAGGGAAATTGTAGTTTTGAAAAGAGTTGAGAGATTTAAAATTTTAAATAGTAAAATCTAAAATCTCATAGCAAAGTAAATTCCTTTGACGTCGACGCCTCTGGTTGCAAGGCTTTTAATCCCCAATCATCATTGAATTAAATTTATCTTTTTAATGTGCTCAACATCAATTCATTCCGCATTATTGATTTGATGTAGCGTCGGCATAAATTATTTTTTTTTTATCTTCGACTGAATCAAGACTCGTCGAAGAATCGAAGTAAAGGTTTCTTGCATTTATAACTTCGTTTTTGTTGTTTTTAAAAACATAATGAACGGTGTTTTTTTCTTTCTTCTTTCTGCAGTTTCGCTCATTCTTTTGCTTCATCCATGCCCATCAACATTATCTTATGCGCGATATACGTTTTTCCTTGAATGTTTGGATCGTCGATCGGAATCGCCGCTTTGATCTTTTTGCTTTTCGTCTGTTCCTACAAATTTAAACGTTCCACAACGTATGACGAATTGTAAATATTCATCTTTCTGGGAGCCGTTTGTATTTAAGACTCAAAAATCTTTTAACATATACATTAAAAAACAAAAGTTTGTCGTTCTTTAATGATTTTAAGACTCAAGATCTTCCATTTCAAGAGTGAAACTAAATGTATGTTTAATAAGTAAATATTAAGTTATTTTAGTTTCATCTCAATGGTTATAAAATTTATCTTGGGATTGATATGGATTATTACTTTAAACTTTAATGTCTTTGTTTGAATAAAAGAACTTGACTGAGTTAAACATTTATTTTTTGTACATTGACTTCTAATGTGGAAAAACCAATGTTTATCAAGAAATATCTATTATGGTTTGTTCTGCTTGTAAAAGCTAATGACGAACTGATATTATAAAAAAGCTAAACATTTCAGTTTAATAAGCTGAAAGGTAAATTTTCAGCCGCACAAGTCACAAGAAACACTTAGAGAAATTGTCGCATGCTTTATGACTATATAAATGAACACAACAGCACTCAGATGATCATCAAGATAATTTAAAAGTAAACAGTAAAACTACAATTGTGTTTTTCTTTTTTTTTCAACTAATGGCGAAGATTTATCGTAGATTGTCTAAATATAAGTCATAATTTTTATATAACATTTTTTTTGTTGATAACTTGGACAAACCAATGAAAATTGGAAATTATGACTATAATAGCAGGTTCGGAAAAAGAAGCGACTTCAAAGTTCAATCAATCTTTCGCCAATCTCCTTAATCCCGTCATGGCAAGCTGATTTTCCGAGTAAACTCCACAGTGGTTATTACATCAATAATCCAATAAGCTTTGTTTACCGATAATATTTTAAAGACAGAAAAGCAAAAATAAAGAAAAAAAAATTGTCAGACGCTTTTACGATTACGAATGAAGCCATTTCCAAAGTGAACAAATATTGAAGGCAAGACTTGTCTGTAGCATTCGAAGAATAATTGCAAATACTAAAGCTGTGGTATTTAGGTTGAAAGGTTATTTAAAGAAACCGCCGATATTAACGTTAAATAATTTGCTAAATATTTTTCATTCTTCGATGACAATGAAATTCTTCCGCTCATAAATTCATAAAATCATTTCTGATTCCATTATCTATCTATGTACGATCTCCTGTGACTAAATAAATAAATGAACGTTAGTGTGAAGCCTAGCTATAAGATATTAGTGTTTCATCTCCATAAACATTAACTTACGTTTACTCTTATCAGTGAATGATAGAAAAAGAAGAATGAATTTAGTCAAACAAACTCTTATCATTGAACGCTTTTCGTCATGAAAGCGCGTTCTGTTGTTAGAAGTTGTATTTATGAAGTTTTTTTTATTATTGCAACAACAAGAATAACAACATTAATCAAGCTATTTATCATGAAACAAGAAAAACCGCTCGGCGCGGTGCGCCGACAAAAGGCAAAAATACCGAGTGAAAAAAATGTGGTTTTTTTTTCTGAGTCCTCAGCAATAAAAGCTTGTTGACGACATACACATGTAATAAGACAGATTTCTTGACAATGAATGACTTTTCATTGTCACCACCGGCGTAAATTTTTAGCCGGGAACGATATAATAAAATTAACATTTAATGTGATTTGAATTGTTGGATTCAAGAAAAGGGTTTGATAATTTTTTCTTCTATTTTTGTAGATTCACTCATGTATGTGCTTAAATAACACTTACTGCAGTTAAATTATAAACATTGATTAGTCATTTTTATCGTTTTATTACATGCCGACACTATCATTCCCCTTTACGGTTCGTGCTACGTAGCGAAAAGATTTTTCTAGGCTTATTACCTTGACGCTTATATGCTCATAAAAAAGTTTTGCGAAATTATAAATTAATTAAAAAGCAATTTAAGTAAAAACGTTGACGATAATGTGCCTTCTGGAGATCAATACGCCAAGGAAAATTGAACAAATATTAAGTCAAACCAAGCTTTTAACTCAGTCTTTTTATTTTAATGTCTAATAGTTTTTCTGTTCATAATACTGATTTGCACAGTTATAGAAATATTAACATAATCTCAATTTACGATACAAGCTTTTCGTTTAAGTTTTTATAATTAACTTAAATCTATTCGTGTTTGATTCAAGGAATCTTTTTGTTAATCGAAATTCAAAATCGAGTTGAACAAGAAAATAGTTCAATGTTTGGCCAGTTCAGACTGAAAAATATCTACGAACAGATAACACCGGATAGGAGAAAAAAGGAAAAAAAATCGAATAAACAAGATTTAAAGATCAAATGAAAAATTAAAAGATGAAAACCAGTCCAACAATTTTTCTTTTCTTTAAGTCTGGGATGCCTTCTTTCAAGTGCTCTCAAAAATTTTTACACGATTCAACTTTTAATGATTCGTTTTCCCCGTGAAAATTTGTTATAAACAATATTGGCGCGTTTCTAACGAGAATAATTTTCGTTTCATCAAAGCCAGATTAAAATCGTTTTGATATGTTACTTCCTTCGCCAAAATGCATTTGTCTGACTCTGAGGCTTTCATACTTTCTAAGCCGATAAATGATTGTTTAAACTAAATCAACACAATTTAACTTTAAGTTTTTTTCAGGAAATTTATATAAATTTTATTTAAAACTTAATAAAACCATCGACATGATGTCAATCTTGTCAATTCTAAAATTTTAACTCAAACATCTTTTCTGTCGAGTATTCAGTAAATAGAATCGAAATGTTTTGTTGATCTTCAATTGCTATTAATAGAAGAAAATCTCAGTAAGATCAGTTACAATCGAATGATTTTTATTCGGAATCAGCCTTCAATACCTGCTGCGTGTACAGCATGACTTACATGCTAAAGGAACATTTTCTCAAGAAAAAGACTGTGTGTGTGTGAGAAAAAAATCTTCTCGCGATGAATTAAAAATTGTTTATGACTGATAAATGTTATTTAATATTCTTACTCCCCAAACGTTTTTCAAAAGATTTTTTCGTTAAACATCTGATTTCGACGAGATGAAACAGAAAGCAGGAGGAAAGATGTAAACTTTACACTATAATTGTTGCACAAAAGCGAATGACGAGCGTTTGGGGGGAAAATGAGCGAGTCTAAGATGAGATTTAAGTGAGACAAGAAAATATCTAATTCAAATAAATCTCATGTGCGATCGAAAATCAAAGGAAAAATTATATCTTCAAACATGATGTGGATGTAAGAGATGAACGTTATTTTAGACGTGGATGTATGTATTTATATGATAAACAATCTCTTCTCTGTTAAGTTTCCATTTTCATTAAAATATTAGCTTGGCAAGAAAATTATAGCCACAAAAACATGACATTCAATTATTGAGAAGCACATACGATTTTTTTTTAAATTTTCCCCACGACTTCAAAACGAATCATAGAGAAGATCAAAAGACTTTTATTTTTTGACATGCTTGTTGATTGTCATCGCATTTGTCTTTGATGTTTGAAGCGGTATGATAATAATTTCTGCTGTTTCTCCAACGAGGAAAATGAATTTTAATTCTTAAAAACTGAAACTACTTTGACGTGTAAATACAAGAAAAAAGAATTAGATATTTAATCAATAGACAAACTTATGTCATCTGAGAGAAGATCGTCAACATCTGCAACGTTAAGAAAGTAAAATAATTAACTCTTTGAGTAAATAAAAACAAGCAAAAGAGACGTATTTGCTTTTAATCTTTATCGTTTCAGTTCCACATTGATAATTTTATTAAGCATTACATTAAGATAGTTCTTCTTTTTATAGTTTCGATTTTTTTCTTTTCATTCTTTATGTGCTATCCTGCCATTAACGAATACTTTGTCTGTCTATTTTCCATTGATTCTTGCCGCCATTTGGTGAGTTTCAAGAAAAAAAAACTCTGATAGTTTGAATAGGAGGCAGAAAAGAAGAGAAACGCAAGTAATTTATAAGCTCTTCTATTTAAATGGCGAAAAAGAATTAACTCAAAGTTCTTACCATTTCATTGGCATCATCAATATTCATGTGATGTCCATTGACGATACTTGACACCATCGTCTGATTATATTTGAGTTCTCGACAATGTTGTGTAATTGAGATTTGCTCACATTTGTTGCTTTTGATGTCGTTGTGTGCCGACGATGGTAAAGTCGATGCATTAATTGTTTTTATCACCAGCAACAGTATTAAAAGCATTAGAAATTCGATCGATAACATTTTATTTCCACTGCAAATCAACATTTCCTCACACAATTATTAGAAATATTATTCCGTTTTTCTTGATTTCTTTCCTCCGTTTTAATTTTTACTTTTATCGCTTAAAGCAATAAACACTTTGCTGCTAATTTGTCGGTAAGTTCAATTCAGTGTTTCATTTTTTCTCTTTGAGATTTACATCTTAAAATAATTTATTTTTAAATGTTCCTGCATGTTGCTGCATTAAAAAGATCTGTTTTTGTTCAAATTTAATCACAAAACTTATTGTCTGCACAATTTAAATCAATTACTGTCAGAATCACATATAAAACCTTTTTCCTTTCATTTGTAAAGAAAAGGGTTAAAAAAAGTTTAAAAAGAAGTTTGAAACACGTCTGAAGTTGATGAAACTCTATACTGAACTAGCTTCAAAACAAAAGAAATCTTCGGACTTGAAGTTTTGAGAGCGATGAAAGAGAACAGCAGTTGAACTCACACATATAAAGCGTATTAAATGTGAAAATGTTAGTAAGATCAGTAGAATTCTCCGCGTTTTTTCTCTCCATTAAAATTCTCTTTATTATGTTTTGCTTGGCTTTACTGTGTTGTTTGATTGTGTTGTGTTGAAAATGGATAGGAAAGAATATTAACCACAAAATAGAATGAAAAGAAGCAGAATACAAGAAATTATGATCATGAAGTTGGAACCAAGAAAAAAAACTTCGTTTTTAGTGAATTTATGGAAAATAAGTAAGATTTAATGAAGGAAAGCTAAAAATGTATTCCTGGTAGTGCATCAGAGATTAAAAAAGTGAGAAACTTCAAGTCTGCAAGTCCACATTGATCATCGATCCAAAATGAGAGATATTTAAAAATATTTCATTTATAATTTGTTTAGGAACTCAATTGCAACATGAAATATGCTCGACAAGGAAACTATTTGCATAACATGATCAAAGAAAGCCGACTTTAATTACAGCGAAGTAATTTCGCATATAAGCCTAAATGGAGAAAAAACACTTTTATCTTGCAAAAATTTAGGCACGGAACAAGCCTTTCATAAGAAGAAGAAATACATTAATTGAGTGGTTGTTTTATTGCACTGAAATTAAAGAATGATTAAAAGATTATCAATTTTTTCAATTTCTCCAGCTTAAATTTTTTGAGCCTTTTTTGTGACATGAAAGTTCTATGAAGGAATTGATGATCAAAAATTGCACATTTCAAACGCTAAAATGATTTTTAAAGTTAGAAGCTAAAGGTGAAATCATATCATGAGTTTCTGTCAACAAAAGATAAAATAATTCTTTTCACAATCTACCTAAATGAAGAAATAGGCAGAAAGATGTAAATCTGTTAAGGAATGTGCTTAAGCCTATCGAAATTAGATACTATTTACAAGAGATCTTTCTAAGATAATCTTTACAAATATCGACAAAAACATGAGAAGAAGAATTTTAAAAAATAATTAATTAAAATGATGTTCAAGAAAATAGTTTAAGCTTCTTCATTTTCAATGTTTACGTGAACTTAAAATTGAATGTTCGAAATGGTTAAATTTTTTGTTAATATTTAAAAAGTACTCGCTAGAATGTTAGTTCAATTATTTGAAAGTAAAGCATGATTGAAGTGTCCCATCATAAATATGTTTGCTAGATAAATTGAACATTTTTCTTCTTTATAAAGTTCTCATTGGCATGGCGTGGTCACAGACATTTCATCATCATCATGCTTAAGTGTGAATAAAAGAGAATAAATTAGAAATATTTCTTGCGAAACCGCAAGCATTATAAAAAATGGGCAACGCAGATGATGACGGAACTAAGAACTTCAATATTCGAAGCTTTTAAATCTTTTTCTTCTACCTAGATTATTTCGAGCTATAATTTAGATTATAAAGCCTCATTTCAAAGAAATCGGTAGAGAAAGAGGGAAGAAGAACGCATGCCTTTAATTGTTTAATAGCATTTGATGGTTTGAAATTTCAGGAATGGAAGAGAAATCCAAAAGAATGAAGCGACTGCTTGAGCTATCAACAATAGATTTTTTTAACGTATATTAGCATGATGTGATGCTTGTACGATGGGTATACATTTCAATGAGACGACAAAAAAATCTTCTTTTCAAAGCAAGTCTTTTTATCGAGAATTTTTGAATTGTTAGGTAATCCCTTCTATGGATCAACATTCATGCTTCGCTTAACTCAAATAATAATATTGTCAATAGTACAAGTACTTTAATTTTCTTTAATATCGGTAATTATTACTTGACAGTCATTAAATAAGATGCATGTTATAAAATGGGCTGTCAATGATGAGAATCTTTTCAAGCAATGATTTAATTGAGTCTCCAACGAAAAGAAACTTTGAAAAAGACGAAAATCAGGAGTGAGCTGACCACACAGAGGAAAGGATAAAGATAAGTGAGTTTGAAATTATAAAAAATATAGCCATAAGCAGTAAGATGAACAATCAAGAAAACTAATTCGAAAAGAGAGAAAATAAAAATTAATTGTCCGTTTGGGCGCAATAATTAAATCGGCTATTATATTTTTTCGCCTTAAAAAAATTATTATCGCTTTTAAGCTTTTAAGGGAGTTGAAGAGGAATTTAGAAGCCTTTGGAAATACTTTCATAAGTTGATATTTATACGATTTCCATTGTAACGTACAATTGACATATAATCTTCTTTTTGATTGCTTAAAGATAAATTGAATCTAATTAATGTGTACATATTCTGTGTGACTTATAGCAAGGCGTCATTTTAATTATGCTATGCATAGATTTAATTCATGCATGAAGTATATGACGGTAATAATTTGTTAGCATTCTCTAAGGCTCTTTTTTTCTTTCACTTCCTTTTGTTGAATCAATGGATGACGATAGCGTTTTTTTATACGATCAAAGAATGTGCAATTGCAAACGATACAAGTGCTTCATGGTTGAGTGAGATGAAAGAAAAAATACCGCCAATGTATTGAATGTCAGATGGAAGAAAAGAATAAAAGCAGAAGAAAAACAAAAAAAAAACTTTTAAACTGTCTTGAGCTGGTCTTACAGCAGAAAAAAGTGTTCTTGCTATAGAAGAACGAATATGAGAGAAAAGAAAAAGAAAAATTAACCTTCATAATAATCAATTAAGTTAATTAAAAAAGCCCTTGGGGCGGAAGATCAAAGAAATGTGCACACCACCGTCATCTTTAATTTACACATAAGACGAGTTGAAGTGAAACTCTTGATATAAAACAAATGTTTTCACTAAATAATGTCTTTTCTGTCTGATGGCTTTGCACATGTGACGAAACTATTGAATGATAAAAGAAGTAACGCCCAGAGTTTATTGCACAATTCTCACTATAAACAATAATGAAGCAAATTAAGTTTCGTTTGGTTTAATGAAACAACATCATTCACATTAAAACTATCTTAAAGCGTTTAATTCACATCTTTTTGTCTTGAAGGGATTTGAATTCGAGTTTCTCCATGATGAACATATTCTTTCGCAAATGTTACGATTCATAACTTAATTTAAATCGAAAATAATTGAAAGCTCAAATGATTTCTTTAATAAACAATTTTTTTATATGATATCTACATATAAATTTATGCTTAAACATTAAATTGTTTTTGAAGGAAGAAAGCAGCATCGAGATACTTATAATAACATTAATAAAAGTAAATGGCATACGAATGGTGTCCAATCAGTTATTCACTTATTATGAGCTTGTTACAAAGTTTACATTTTACGATCGCTGATCATTTTATAATTGAAATTTATCAAAACAAATTTTAATAATGATTTCATTCAAAATCAAGCAAAATTTTGGCTAATTTCAGAAGACTTATTACGAGTATTACACCTAAAAAGAGCAATAAAAAATTTATGAGCGCTTGATTATTAATTCTAGGTAGATATTTAAATAATTAATTGCTTTCAATAGCTGTTTGACCTTCAATAACAGTTTTAAGTTGATCTTCTTTCTTTAGTTGGTTCTGCTGAACTCTTTCATTGAGAAAGTTGAGGTATTGAGTAAGACGTAAGACCGCGATAAGAGAGGCAACATATTCAGTCAGGTCTTCCTTTTTGATCATTTTTATTTGTTGGGAAACAGTTCGATAGACACGACGAGCAACCATGTTATTTAAACGACCAATGGTTTGGACAGTGTGCAAAACGGGATCATCTTCAGCAGAAATGGGTTCTGAAGAAATGAAATTAAAAATAAACTCATAATGAATGAAATTTCATTAACTAAACTTACTATCATCGTCCTTTGAATCATCTTCAATAGTTTTTGGAAAGAAACTATCGAGAAGACGTTCAGCGAGAACAGCAGTTGAATCAATTCCAGTCACACAGATTTGTCCATAAGAAGTTGCTAAAACTTCTTTTGCTTTGTTATAAGACAATTCTTTTAATGTTGCAGCCTTTTTTTCGCTGGTCTTTCTAAGTCCACACACTTTATTAATTTGTGGTTGCACGACATCCATGACTTTGGCTTTTGCTTGATTCAAAATCTCAGCTGGTTGTTCCTTAATGATTGGAGCTCTTTCTTCTAGCTTATCAAGACCTTTCACATATAATTGGTCAACAAAACTTATTGGAGTGTCAAATTTATTGACAATTGGTGCTGATAATGTAACGCATCCTTTCACCACGTTCTCTGTGGTGCGGAAAGCCCAATTGAACATCGGGTTAAAGTCTAAAAAATTTATTATAAAAGGAAATGGTTAAATTAACGAAGAAAACAACTTCAGAGCGTAGCCGAATTTTATTTTTTAGTATCAGTGTTTTCTGTATAAATAAAAGAAATCTTAAAAACTTTCTGATAAAAGTCCAAACATTTGAAAGTCGTTACAAAGACACGCGCCGCTGATTATAATTTTTTTTAATCAGAAACTTTGGCTATGACGATTTTCTTATCAAAAATATTTTTACAAAATGAATGAAATCTTTAATGGAACTTAAGCTTGATTAGATGTGACAACAACACAACTCATCACTATGATATTTCATATTGAACTTTATACCCGCATCGTAAGACTTCCAATTGATTTAGTTCATCCTATGAAGACAAACGAAGAAGAAGAAGATAAAAATCGTTATCAGCCTGCCAGAGATTTATTTCTGTCTGCGTCTGATTCATTCAATTTTATAATTGTAAAAAGTACTTGAAATTTGTTCGACTGTCAAAGGTTCTCTCACATGGAAAATCGGCTTTGAGAAATATTCATTGAATCGCATTTTGCACTTCATTCCACTAAAATCACGTGCACGGGTGATTCGTGTTTATACACTCACCTTTAACTTTCTTATAAACTTCTTCACTTTGGTACCATGCGGCTTCTACGACAGGAAGTTTCATCATGCGTTCCCATGATTCTAAATGTGGTAAAACCGTGTCATCAGCTTTGACGATTTTTTTTGATTCGTCACCTGTTGCAGCCATTGTTTAATTGTCTTTCTTATTTCAGTTATTTCAGCAAATCAGCAAAATGTAGGAATTTTTAAAGAATTACACGTGAAACGTTTAATCTCATGAAATTGTCATTTAAAACTGATTGTACTTTAGCGTTTGTTTCACATTTATAAATAAAGAACGAATACGATTAAAAGCCGAAGTTTGTTGACAACATTTCTGGTATTGGTTGAAGTTAAGTTTTGAATTTACAATTGTGTTAGTAGACAGTGATCATTGAAGACTTCTATTAGACAGTGATAATATTACATTATCTCATCACCGACATAAGAAATAGAACTTTGTCTGGAACAATTCGAAAGCCCGCCATTCCATCATATTCTATCGGCATGCTGCTACTGATTATTTATTACATATAATAGGAAGTAAAGAGAAATCACTGAACTTTAGAGTGTCTGATGACGAAGTTTTCATCGATAATGAGAAACCAACGTGATATAAACTTTTTTTTAATGATTTTGTTTATTATTATCAAACCTTTGGACATTTTGAAAGCCTTAGAAGAAGTTAATGTGTTGATAAAATTATTGACAGCGTTTTGATATAAAATTTTGTTTTCAGCGCGATTATTGCGTCAGTTTATAATTTGGAAGAATCGATAAGTGTCATTATATCAGGCGGCAAGTTGCAGAAACGCATGTTATTGTCAATTTTTGAATCAGAATTAGCACAACTAATCACATTTTCCCAATATGCCCTCGAACATATAGCATTGACAATAAAATAACGAAGTTTTTATTAGAAAAATCACCCAAAAGCAAGCAGGGATGTCAAAGTATAAAAAAACTTTTTTATAAACATATCCAATTAGGTATCTTTTTTTACTTTCATAAATACTCCGGAGGCTTTTATTTTGAGCCCCTGATTGATAGACCCAGAGGTGTAATGATCCAAACTTGTTGATGTTGGACTTCAAGTTCAGTAAAAATTGACTTGTTTGTTGTTTTTTTTTTGTTTCATACAGGAAATCAGCAAAAACTAGATGGATTAACAGACCAATGGGAAAATTTGCTTAATTCAGAACTTAGTCAGAAACAAATCAGTTCACGCTTAGTTTTGACATAGAGAACAATATATACAGCGTTATCAATAACTTTAAACGTCTCACAATTGTACATCGATTAACAAAAATTAAAAAAAAAATTATTGTTCAAAAGTGGACATTTGTGATAAGAATCACGGAACAGTTCTCGTTGTTTTAACTCAAAAGCAATTACAATTTTTAATTGAAATTGTGAATATCACAAAAGTTCCTAAAGTATTTTCAAATAGAACATTAATGTAGATTGACATTTATTGTCAGATTTGACTTGATGAACTTTTTTAGTGTTTTAATCTCCGCTAAGTTTAATTAATAATCTATTTAATAAGAACTTCTATCAGTGATCAATGCAACATGAAATTCTTTAAAGAAATGAAAAAAGCAGCATGTTTGTTGTCATATATTATCATTTACTTCTGTAGTTTATCGAAAGCAAATGAAAACTTTAAACAATTTGATGAAATTGCTTGGTTCGATAACTCAGGTCGAGAAAAGTATTCTCAATATTCTGATTTAATTGAAGCGTCAATTGTTAGTCAAAAATATAATAACAACCTTGATGATGTAGAATTTAAAAAGTCTTTAAAATGGGTAAATAAATATCAAGCGATGGATTATTAAATGGGTCGGAAAATGACTGATAACGATTTTATTTTGTTTATTCGAAGCCGGCTATTAGACGTTCAAATCGTTTAAAGTATGGCGGTCCAAAGGTTGTTGATGCGTTTTTTAATACTCTAAGAAGCGTTATTCAGCCTTCAGAGAAGTCAACACAATACAACGAGACGACAAATGGAATCGATACTAATGTTAATGTACAAAACATAGATTTTATTCCAACTTTTGGCAACAATCAAGACTTGCAATTCATTTATATGGGAACAAAGTGGTGTGGTGCTGGTGATATTGCCCAAAGCAAACGTGATATTGGATATTTTTATATGACAGGTGTGGTTGAATTGAATAAATTTTAGTGATAATAATAAAATTAAATTATTAAACATTAATAGATTCTTGTTGCCGCGATCACGATTTATGTCCGCAGATGATTGAAGCTCAGAAGTCAAATTATGGATTAAGAAATCCAGGAAAATTTACACGGTCTCATTGTGATTGTGATAACGCATTCTATCGCTGTCTAAAATCCGTCAACACAGTAGTTTCTAATCAAATTGGAGTCATTTATTTCAACGTTCTTGGGCCTCAATGCTTTAAAAAAGAACATCCTTCAAAATGTAAACGAAGAAGTAAGAGAAGATGTGTGGAGTACGAGGCAAATGAATCAGAATCAAAGCAATATCAATGGTTTGATAATAAATGGTACTAATACAGATAATTATTAATATCTAATTGTGTAAGATCTTAGGGAATAGGTAAAATGGAATCTTTTTAAAACTGTTGGACATGATTGTTAACGCTAATAAATGTTAGGCCTTGAAAAGTGCTTTAAAAGTAACAAAATTTCCATTGCAGACGTACCTAATTTCTTTCTACCTTCTTTTCAATAAAATAAATGTAATGAATTAAAACATTTGCTGCAAAAACGTTGATTTGAAAATTTCAAATTTGAACTTATTTGAACTTTATGAATATTCTGAAATAGCATTTTATGAGCATAAACACGTCTTTGAAAATAACCGTTCAAATTTAGATTCAAAATTTCATTTTCAAGCAGTTTTAAGTCTTCTTTTCAGTCTTTCCTTATATTTAAGTTTTAATAAATTAACTATTGTAATTATATAATAATAATTGACTGTAGTTATGTCAACAAATCAGAAAATACTTGCAAGTTGCCTTTTTGAAGCAATTGATGATGTAAATTTTAGGTAAGAAAAATGATCTTACTTTAATCAGAAAACTTTTAAAAGCCATCACATATTTTTCAGTAATGTGATGATTTTACTTGAAAAACATGGAACAGATCCAAATACAATTATTCCAAAGCTACGTATTGCTCCAATACATTACGCAGTAGGTTTCGACAATCTTGATTTCGCTGAAAAAGTTACTGAAGTCTTTCTTAAGAAGAATGCGAATCCAAACTTGTATAGTGAAGTTGATCGATTAACACCATTACATATTGCATGCATTTGGGGGAGAGCAAATATTGTCAGGATGTTACTGAAACATGGAGGAGATCTTGATTTGAAATGCAGTGAAGATCGAACTCCAATCTTGCATGCGATTGCTGAAAATCATTTTGAAGTAATTGAAGTGATAAAAATGTTTTTGTATGAGCAGAAAATGAGCAAAAGAGCTCCATTAGTTCGTACCATCAGTCAACAGACGTATATTGGATCACCTATGAAAAATATAAGTCGAATAAATCATAATTTCGATGTTACTTCTCCTTACTACATCAACATAACTCACCGTCGTCATAACTCATCACAGGATAGAATGAAATCAGCTCGTAAAGATTTAAATGATGCAATCGAAAACCAAACAGACGACAGCACAAGTGATGATCATGAAGACCATGATCAAAAAAATTTATTCGAACTCACCGAAGAAAATTTAAAAGAGTTCAGCAAAAAAATGAGCAAAGTTGTGATCGTCAGTAGATTAGCAATTCACAAGCAAGAATCTTATATCAAGAGTTGGCGTGAGAAGATTCAGCAACTATGCAAATATGACAAATTAGATGCCAGTTACACTGATTTCCTAAATAATTGTAATGATTCAAATATTAAAGACGTCAATAATGAAAACAAAGTGGAAACAGCTTCATCAGCAGACTCATTTGTCACAGCTGAAACTGGACATCGACGAAATAAAAACCAAATTGAAACCAAACAAGATAACGTTGATTCAATACAAAAGACTGACGAATTATGCAAGAAGGAAACTAATGAAATTGTAGGAAATTCGGAAAATAATCTTAGCGAGGATGCTGTAAGTATCACCACAAAAGTGTCAATTCCACCGTCATTAGATTACAACACTGATGTATTAAGATCAGAATTACGGAATATAACTGGAGACAATCCAGGACCGATAACTAAGAATACAAAGCGTTTATACTTAAAGCAACTCTTATTGCTGAAAAAGAAAATCAAAAAAGGTGAAAAATGTGAAAGAAATGAAAGAATTGGTAACTTTGCTTGATTTGCAGTACAAAATACGTTTTAAATTATTTTTCAATTTTAGTGTATTCGAATGAACTTCAACGAACGATCAACAATTACGATCATTTAGAGGAAAGTATTAGCGATTTTCAAAAGTTAGAGCAACAAATGAGTCAACATTTCATCGAGCATGCTCACATTAAATGGCGTGAAGGAAAAATGAAGACATCATTCATTTATATCCTTATTGATCCTCGTTTATCCTGTAATCTTCCTTTACAATATAAAGAAATGCATAAATGTGAGATATGGAAAATATTTTTATCGTCCATCTTCTACGTTGGGAAAGGAAAGCAGTCCAGACCTTACAGTCATCTTTATGATGCAATTAAACTCTTTTCCAAAGAAAATGATGAAATTGCTTATCATTTAGAACAGAAAAAAATCACTGAAAAACGAATGGTTCATTCAAATGGTGTCAAAAGTAGTCAAGTTACTTCTCCAAATGGAATAAAATGTTTAACCAATGATAATAAAAACCTCCAGGAGAGTAAGAAATTGAAAAGAATCATCGACATATGGAAGTCTGACATGGGTGTTATTTGTCTTCATATTTTCAACAATATCATACCATGCGAAGCTTATACACGGGAAGCTGCAATTATTGAAGCTGTGGGAATACAAAACTTGACAAATTTAAAAAAAGGAGAATATTACGGAGTTGCTAAGAACTTTCTTAAGCGGAAAAAACGTCAATTGGGAATCGCTCTTTTATATCGCGCTATGAACATTTATCTTGCCGAAGGAGAATCAAGACTAATGCCTTTTGATCTTATCTAATTTATTATATAAGCAAATTTTATGAGAAGTAACTTTAAATTAATATACCAAAAATAAAAGTTTTATGTAATTTTAACGACTGCTAAAAATTTGAATATATTTGATCAAAATGAAAATCAAGTTCAAAATCAACAAAAGGTGAAAATTGTTTACTCCGAATGGAGCATTAAATTTTTTTTCTTCTCAACTCAGTCGAAAAGAAATAAAGTTTTCAAACTTAGTTTTAATGTATATTGAGTGAGAAGTGCATAAAAGTGTTACTAGAATAATACTCATTGCACAAAGCATAACATAAAAAAATTAAATGCAAATATTTTAAACAAGAAAGGAATACAAAAGAATCAAACAATTTGAAAAAAAGGCAAAATAAATTCAAATTTTTTATAGGTGAATGAAACTTTTATTATTGTTATTTTAAAAGAATGAATTTTGATTAATTGAAAACTTTGAAAATTATTAACACGTGAGTAAATAGTGAGTTAGATGTCTATATGTTAAAATTCTTCCTTATTCAAATGAGAAGGGCAAGGGAAAAAATTTCGTAAACAAAGATGGACACAAAAAAATGAACTTATTAGAAAGTTTCTCGGCTTGGCCAAAAAGAGTTTTACTTTTTATTTTCTCGAAACAGATGAATGGTTCACAGTTTATTGTTTCAGTATAAATCACTTCTGGTTGATGTTATCTTTTAAATGTTCATCCCTTATAGCTAAATTTATTTGGAGAACGAAAATACAAGAATTTCAATTGTTTCAATTAATCACGATTTGTGTCGTTTCTTGAATACACAATAGGAATTGTTTATCTCATCAGTCACCTAACTGTTTATCTAATTCGTTCGTCAATCTTTTGTGATCATATAAGCAAAAAAAAAATTAGAGAACAATTCTGTCCAATACCGAAGTGAAGATTAGTTTATTAATATCACTTTAAAATGTCAATAATTAAAAAGTGTTGATGTATTTATGTACCTATGTAATACAGATGTTGAAAACTCAAACGTTATGTGTCTTAAAATTTGACTTATAATCTTATAAAATATAACATTCGTCGATAATAATGTTGCATCAAAGACATGAGAATTCTCCATAAATATATTCAAGTAAATGCACATAAAATTCGTGAGTGAAAGCATTAATATAAAATTTATGAAAGATGCTTCAATTTCGTAAAATATAAGAATAAATTAATTAAAATAAATTGAAGATAAACGACTTGCTTCATCGCGTAAGCGGCTTGTCTACATGAAAAAAATAATTTTTCTTCCAATTTCGTTGAAGTGAACAAACCATCATCAAATTATTAACACTTCAATTAAATAAATACAATACAATACTTAATATTCCGAGTTATATTGAATGACGCTTTTTTTGTTTTTCTGGAGATTGTATTTACATTAGTGTGGCATTAAAAGTTGTGCCTTTTCCTTTCTATATCAATTTTTTTTGTATCTACTGAGTCAAGCTTATGTAGAAAAAATAAACTCACTTCAAAACTAAACAAACAAAAAAACTCGTGTTGCAATTTTCAATAAGCTCATATTTACACGGATAGTTTAATGAACTATTTTTTCTTTTTTACTAATTATACGTAACGTGATTGACGACATGTCATTCAATGAAATAATTCTAGTTACAGCATAAACAAATACATATCAATATTGATATTTGCAAGCATAAACAGAAATAGAAACAAAAACATGTAGTAAATAAAATCACATCAGACAATGTACCGGATTATTACAACAAAAACAGATGGTTTGTGAACTCTCGCCTCATAATGTCGCTTTAGAGTTCATCTCTGTTGCCACAATGACGCAAAAACGAATTGCGCGAAAAACACAATGGATAATGTTTCTAAAGTGTATCAAACGAAGAACAAGAAGAAACTGCAACGCAATGATTTATTTGTTATGCCTTGAGTTAAGAAGCGAAGCTTAAATGTATTCATTGAAACGGTTTCATGAGCGTTGCTATTATTTTTCAACAATGGATAATCAAATGATGAACATAAGAAAAGAAACAAGCGACTTAATAGCAAGACGAAGATGAGGTAACACATTTAGTGCATCAATCTCAAGTTCTGATCTTTCTCACATCAGAATTCATTCATTTCTCTTATTTTGACTTTAACATCATTCTATTTAGTTTAGTTTTATCAATAAGATCATTTCTTTGTAAGGATGTGTGAATAATTCGTTTTGTTTGTCTCACAAGGTATCTAAGAAAGTGATCTGTGGAATGCCATTAAATTAAATTGTTAACTGCATTTTTAATCAACTCTTGACAACATAAAAACTTATTATGTATCATGCTTGTCAAAAGGAAGTAAAACTAGAAAAAATACCTACATAAATTGCAGAAAATTTACATTTCAAAAACAGATTTTTCTGTTTTAACTTGATTGAAATGCATTTTCCGCATTTGCGAATGAAGGAATTAAATGGCAAAAAGTGACAACAGAGAAGTTTGATTATCAATACATATTTCCACTCAATTAGAGAAAGTTTCAAGACTCCAATTACATGTTTTACGGTGTTGGAGTCAAAACAAGTTATACAAACTGCTGTCATTGTTAAAATAAAAGAAAGAAATTTTTTGCCTGAGTGAACTTGTGAACTAATCGCAAGCTTTAGCAACAAAGTAACACACACTTACCTCAATTAATTTCTTCAGAAAAAAAGAGTCTTTTGTCGTAAGGTCAACAGAACTAGTCAAATTAAAATTCATAGCATTTCTCATATTTCTCATCAGATTTAAATTCCATTGAAATGAAGTTTTAGTAAAACTTCTTAGAAATTATGCTGCAACTTGCAACAAAGTCGTTTTCAGGTAAACCAGCCAACAGAAATTGAGAATTAGAAAAAAAAATTCACGGTGAGTTTGTTAGAGCAATTGAAGCGTGCTCAGAATTCAAAGAACTCGTGCGATTGTTAATTTTTTTTTTGTCGGTAAATATATAATAAAAAAATAAACTTTCCAATGTAAACCACAATTCTTCTATAAAGTTCATTCAACGTTATGAGGTTGTCACATGATAACAAACAAATTGAATTTTTCGTAAAATAAAACAAGAAAAATTACGCGATTTATTTTAAAAGCGTTTGCAAAAGAAAAATTCGTTCTGCAACAAGCGAAGCAACGGAGAAACGGACATAAAGAAACTTGAAAGTGGGTTGATCAGTGATCAGAAAGTGAAAAAAAAAAATTCGCTGGCGATGGGAAAAAAAGTAAGCCTAAAATATCTCAATGTGCAAATCACGTTTAAACGTATAAGTGATGACGTGATGCCGGCATCTTCTAATGGTATGATGATTGAGACAAGTTTAACATCTTTTAAAACCACCGTGTTAAGCGCTTTTAAAATGTATCGGATAAATTTAGCTTCACCTTTTTCTTCCGCAACGGTGACCATATAACTTAATTAAGTTTCCTTGAGTAGACTTTCACCTCGTCTCACCTCACATTTAATACTTTGATCACATACATATCTGCAAAAATATTAAATTTATTGTGTTAAGTTTGCTTATGTTTCAGTTGCACACTGCTTCGAAATAGCGAAAAGCAACCTAAATAAATGCTTCGATAAACTTTGAAATTTTATTGAAAGATATTTTATGGTAAATGATATGACCTGCAAACAAAACTTCTCGAGCAGTCGCTGGTTTCACTTCGTATCACTTGAGCTTCTAACGGTCACTTAAAGTTTGCTTTTCTCACTTTCTTGAAACAGAAATATTGTTCATTGAAGGCCAAAAAGACAAAAAGAGCTTTGTGTATTAAGCCCAAACAACTCAAAGAAATAAAATAAATCAAAGAGTGTTTTCTATTGTGTAAGATATTTCTGTAAAAACAAAAAGGGAGATTACATTGTTAATACGTCAGCTTTATGATGTTTGGCTTGAGTGTTCGAGCTGTAAACAGAAATTGAAATCAAAAACTCAAAGCAAAACATTTTCTTGCGCATTTATTGCAAATAAGAATTGTCTGTACATTTAATCTAATTAAATATATTTTTATTAGCTTCACTTTATTCGTTCATAAATAATAAATTTACTTCCTTTCAAAAATCAATAACCACAACTTCAGTGGATTAATTCTTATTTACTGATTTACTGTATTGAAGTTACGGAAGTAAATTGTCGCATAATTAGACTGGTTATGATCTTGTTCATCAATTAAGGGCAGTTTTTCGAAAAAAAGATTAAATTCTTATTGTGATATTGTCTCAGGAAGTAATCCAATGTAACTTGTTTTGTTAACAGTAAATTAGCGTGTTGTGGAAAAAAGCAATGGGAAGTTAAAACGATTTTCAAGTTTAATGAGCAGAATTCAATGCGTAAAGCGCTGAAAAATTTTCTGTAATGCAAATCAGTTTTTTAATTGTTAAAATAAGTCTGAGAGCGTAACAATATACCCAACTAAAGTTGTAAAGTACTTGAAATTAAAATATGAAAAGAAACAAAATTTAGAATTCTTTAGTGAATCGGATGCGTCGTGTCTGATTTGATGATTTGACGTAACTGGCAGTCAGTTTATTGGAGTCAACATCGTTTTCATCTAAATTTTATTAACTATTCTCATGAACAAATTCAATTTATCGTTCAACATTGTAATATGAGATATAATTTTGTTATCACTCAAGTGGAGATCACAAAAATCTCATTAAAATGAAATCGAATGTTATCAAACTATTTTTCAATCTCTTTTCAGATGCTGTTGGGAAATATATCTGGAAAGAAATGATGATGACACATGATGAATGATTTGGTGAAAGGATATGAAATCATAAGCGATTAGCTTCGTATCTAAAGCTAAACACTTGGTGGTCTGATAAATTCACGACGATACAGCTAAAGTAGCTAAGCTTACCTTTGGATTACGATTGACGATTGAATGGTTCTTCTAAAATAATAAAAAACAAGAAAAAATTGCTATCAATTAAAATCTTGAGCTGTGAAATATTCCTTTCCACGCAGTTTTACGAAACAAATAAGCAATGGATAATCGTGTCTGATTGGATTCAATTGAAAAGGTAAAGAAAAAAATATTTATTGGCTAGAATTCTTTTGATTGAAATTTATTTTTGTTGATTAGGCGGAGGGTCACGATCAAGTGAGATAAAAAAGTTTTCAAAAGAAATAAAAATCTCAACTCTCGTGATAAGGAAAAGAGAAGAAAGAAGGTGAAAAAAGCAACATTTTCTCATCCAACACGATCAAAAGTGAAGTTAAATAATGATGGCTGTAGAGTTATTCGGATCACGTGTCTCAACATGTGTCATTTCGATTCTTCTCATAGTTTACGGTAGCTTTCGAAGTTTAAATATGGAACAAGAAGCTCGCGAAAAAGAGAAGAAAAGACAAAGTGAAAGCTCCAATAATTTGCTAACAGGCGAACCGGTGTCGCATGACTCAAGTAAGAACTGTTTCTGATCGAATGTTAATTTTTGTTCTTAAAAGATTTTCTTGGCGTAGATTCTGGATTTGCAACACTTGACACAACACACGCTCTATGTTTGCCACTTGGTGCATCGATATCATTATTGGTGATGTTTTTCTTCTTCGATTCTATGCAAGTATTGTTTGCCATTTGTACAGCAGGTGAGTGAAAATTCTTTTCTTTTTTTTTTCTTCATTAACATAATAAAAATCAAAAACTTTCTCTCCAGTCATTGCAACAGTTGCGCTTGCATTTCTTCTCCTCCCGATGTGTCAATACATCATCCGTCCATGTACTGATGGAAATCGAATGTCATTCGGATGTTGTGGACGTTTTACAGCAGCTGAAATTTTGAGCTTTGCAATGTCGATTACAGTTGTGTGTATTTGGGTGCTGACAGGACATTGGCTATTAATGGATGCAATGGTAATTAGTGTTCAATCTATTACAGAACATCCTTCCTTAATTGATATTTTTGATTCAGGGAATTGCATTGTGTGTAGCATTCATTGCCTTTGTAAGACTGCCAAGCTTGAAAGTGTCGACACTTCTGCTTACCGGACTGCTCATCTACGATGTCTTTTGGGTATTCTTTTCGTCATATATCTTTAGTACAAATGTGATGGTGAAAGTAGCAACTCGACCCGCCGAAAATCCTGTCGGTATTGTTGCCAGAAAACTCAACCTTGGTGGAATTGTTCGTGAGCCACCAAAGTTAAATTTGCCGGGAAAATTAGTGTTTCCAAGTATGCACAACTCAGGACATTTCTCAATGTTGGGTCTCGGGGACATCGTCATGCCAGGACTTTTATTGTGCTTTGTGTTACGTTATGATTCATACAAGAAATCACAAAGTTCAATGACAGCTGAAGCCGGTGTCCCACCACCAAAGACAATGTTGGGATCGAAGTTGACTTATTTTCACTGTTCCTTATTAGGGTGAGTATATTTGGCTATTTGCTCAACAAAGAAAAAGTGTGAACATAATTAAGTGCATTTCAACGAATTTTTAGATATTTTCTTGGACTCTTAACCGCTACGGTTAGTTCAGAAGTATTTAAACAAGCACAACCAGCGCTTCTTTATCTTGTTCCATTCACGCTTCTTCCACTTCTCACCATGGCTTATCTGAAAGGTGATCTAAGACGCATGTGGACGGAACCTTTCACTGGAACAACAAGTGTATCGAAACAGCTAGAAGTCTAATATTTAAAAAAGAGTCTATTCGATAAAAACTGCAAATACAAATTGTAATAAAGCATTCATGTTGGTTTATTATAACGCGAAAAAAATTCAGAGTATTAAAATGTCATTAGTTTAAGAATATCATTGATGAACAAAGGAAAAGAAGAAATCGCCGAAAATGAGATTCTTATAAAGAAGAAATTAAAGAAAAAGTTTTAATTTTAAACTACATTGAACACACATTTACATTCATGTCACCCCCGAACAATTATTATTATTTTTATTAATATAATTTATGTTTCTGTTAGTATAAATTTCATTTGCTGAGATTTAAATGAAGAGTTTACATCGACTTCAAACTTATAATTATTTTGCAGTTCATTTATTAACTGTGTCAATGTAAGATGTAAACAATAATCAAGAAATATTGATCGTTGTCGATGTGAAAAGAAATTCATTTAAAAATCATTTGCATGTAGAAAGTAAAAACATCAGAGATTCCGACAACGATAATTAAGGGTGATGATGTCTTATGATAAATCAATGATTAATGTTCAGTGATAAGGAAACCGATTTTATGCGAATATATGATCAATTTTTACATAAAGAGAAACGAACCAAAACTTTATTCTCCAATGACTTCATTGAGTTAATTAGCTTTTATTTTTTCTTCATCGCACATATATTCGCTACATAATTACTTTAAAATATATGTTGAACCACCTGACGTTTATTAAATAAAATCATGTACTGCAAATAATAAAAAACAATCAGAAGATTTATGTGCTATCTTCAAAAGACATCAATCGCCCTTTTTGTATTAGAAAGTTCAAATGAATGAAGAAATTTGAATGTCTGATTAGTAAGAGCTTGTCTAAGGAATAATTTAACTTTAAAAACTTAAGTTTTATATTTTTCAAGTTAAAAAAATCAAATTCTTTTTTACTTTTACTAGAGAGAATGGAGATTTAGGTTTTTTATCTTCTCCACTCTATAAAAATGGAAAATAAAACTCATAAAAATGTTATTTATACAAGAAATGCAAAGTTTTTTATTTCATTCTGTCTTTCAGTCTTTTATGCCAACAGAATTAATGTTTTTGTCTATGTTTGATTTCTCTTCCTTAAAAATTACTGTAAAATTGAGAATTCAACGACGTCCCATCATCTTTTCACGAATCGACCATCTTAAATCGCTGTGCGAAGATTCACAAATGTTGCTTTTGAATTTTTCCCAATCCTTTTGATAAGCTTGATAAAGCAAAACTGGATCAGATTTTCTTGCTGTTTTCTGTCTTGTCTGAGATACGCTTCTGGGTCGAATCCACATTTTTGGTTTCACTTGTTCTACTTCTACTTTGTCAGCTGAATTATTTTCTTTATCAATTTCATCAGGGTTTTCTCTTTTATCATTGCTTTGTTGCTTTGAATGAAATTTCGCTTCTGATGTCAATGTTTGAACATCGTTAACAGATTTGTGTTTGATTAATTGCGATTCTGATTTTTGAGGTACCTCATTTTCATTTGTTTCTTTATGAGCAACTTTAACAGGATTAAGCGGACGAATCTGGTGCTGGAACAGTTGAGACTGATCCTTCTTAGATATTTTATTTGGTTTTTCTTTTTGTTTTGTATGCGATGCTATTGTTTGAGTTTTAAATAGTCTTTGATCAGTCACTAGAGTTGGCTTTGATTGCTGTTCAGCTTCAGTAGATGGTTTTAGATTTGATTCATATTTTAAAAGTCTCTTAAGATCTAAAATTATGAAAAATTAAATATAATTTGTTTGTTTTATAAAAATTTTAATTCTTTGACATTACCGATCATAAATTCTTTTAGTTGCTCTTTAGAAATATTACGATAGCCTAAATAGTTGAGATGAAAAAGTACTTCTCTTGCATCAACTGACAATTTTTCCATTGTGTTTATGATGAGATGAAAATTAAAAATAAATGGAAACTACGCAGGGCTTGATTTTTTCAAACGGATTTTAACTACTAGCGAACCTAGTGTTGAACACTTGCAATTTCAAGATTTTTAAGCTTTGTTTAGAACGATTTAATTACGCAAAAAATAAATGATTTAAGTAAGCAATAACGAATTTTGAAAATTTTTGTAAAAATTGAATGACTTTTATAAACTATTTTACTCAAGGAAGTTGTTTCGTTATTTAAAAAGTTACTAAAAAATATTCAACTTAAAAGGCGACAAACAAATAATAGCGGTGAGCATGTAAATACAAAAATTCTTAACATAAAAAGTCAAGTCTGTCCTTCATGGGCATTAATAATAGTATTTAAAGAAACAAAACAAACCACAAAATAAAATGAATAAATTTTTCTTAGATAAAAATCAAGAATATTTTGAAGAAAAGTAAGGTGTTAGCGATTGAAAGTAATTCTAGATCATAATGATTCTATTTCTTTGTGAATAGGCAAAAAAACATCAAGGAAACTTTAACATATACGCTGACAGAAAGTCTCAAAGAATGTGAATATGATTACAATGAGAAGAAAGGTAAAGAATTTATGAATTTGTTTCTTATCTAAAGATCCAATTGATGAATTTTCCAGAACCGCTTACGGTATCAGACGCGACAAGTTCTCTTTGTGCAACTCTTGAAGCAATTTTTCTTCATGGCTTAAAAGATACATTCCTTCAAATGACATTTTCAATTTTGGATTCTGGAGTAGATCGACGTCCAAATCCATCTTTCTGGAGCGTCATACTACTCTTTCTACACAAACAAGTTATCAGGGAAATCCAAAGTTTAGCACAAATCAACACTGACGTTGGATTTTCTCGAGCTTTTATACGAAAAGCTATCAATGAATGTCTACTTTCATCTTACTTCCAAAATATCAGAAAATCTCCTTCAACCTTGAAGAGTTATTATCATAAATATGCTTTTCTATTGGATATAGAGTTAGTCGAGACAACTGAAAATCTCCTCGTAGGCATCGAAAGTTATGTCGAATTTAACCTTCCTTGTAATTCTAGTCTCTTAAATGTTTGGAATGATGCTCCGCTCTCTTTATCTGGTCTTTACTCTGCACCTCTTCGATCTCTCCCTATTGCGTCAGGTGAAGATGTTGCTGGTTCAATTTCAACAAACTCACGAAATATCAACATTCCTAATAAAACTGAAATTCTGTCTGACATATTTTCGGCTTCAATAACAAATTCAATATTCAAACATTCTCCAGATTCACTTATTGATGACGAAGATGATCGAATCACAAGACTTTTACAGAAAGTTGACAGTGAAGAAGTTGAAGTGGTAGATGAAGATTTGAACTCATTTGTCGAGGAAAACAATTTAAAATCTCCTGACAGTGAAAGTATCGAGAAACCGACGACTAGTGAAAGTTTCAATTTAGGAAATTCAATTTGTGGTCTTCAAAGTTGGGCAGAACCATCACATACACTTTTAGAAGAAAAACCAGATGATGAAGTTGTTTACAGTCGAAGAAATTCTACAAAGCCAATAAGCATCGATAATCATAGCTTTGAATCGCTTTGGAATGAGAAAAAGAGAAGATCAACGTTACACTTCAAAGAAGTTTGGGAGAGATTCGAAAAATCTTTAATTCCAGGCCAATCATCAGATGTTAAAATATCGAAAGAAGATGACATTATTGAAGATTTCCTTGTGATTGAATCGCCACTAGGTGGAGACGAAAGCAAAATTCAAGAACTTCAACAAATGGTTGAAATTTTGTGTCGATTGTCAAACGAATGTGGACTTGAAACGCAAGGGTTTCTATGTAAAGAATGTAAAGCGCCAATAGGCGTTGGTTTTTCAAAAGCAACTGCTTGTGGATTCGATGGCCAATATTATTGTCCACTTTGTATAAGTCCTGATAAGTTTCCAATTCCTGCTAAAATTATTTACAATTGGGATTTCAAGCACTATCCAGTTAGCAACAAAGCTGCAACATTTTTAACTGACTATCAATTTAAACCTTTTATAGATTTCAAGGTGAGTTTCATTATTTCTTTTAAATAAGTTTTAAGATGTAAAATTTTCAATTACCTATTCCCTTATATAGATTTTAAATCCGGACATATATTCTTACATCGATGAAATGAATCGTCTGCAAAAGCTTCGAATTCAATTGAACTTTATCCGTGCTTACATTTTTACTTGTTCGGAAAGTACAATTGCCGAGCTTCAAAAGCTTCTCTATGGAAGAGAATATATTTATGAATCTATTCATCTTTACTCAATTTCTGATTTATCATTAATTCAAAGTGAAGCATTAGAAGAAATGTTAAAGAAGATTGTATCGTTTGGTAAAGATCATTGTCTCAAATGTGTGCTTTGCAGTGTCAAAGGTTTCATATGCGAATATTGTCGTAAGTCAAAAGTTATCTATCCCTTTGATGTCAATGAAACTTATCGATGTAATCTATGTGGAAGTGTTTCACACATTAATTGCTTTAATCCAACAATCCCGTGCCCAAAATGTGAGAGAAAAAGTAAAAGACAACAAATTGCGAATGAAATTTAAACAATATTTACAGGCTTAATTAAAACCCAGTGCTTTATTTATTATTAAAAAAACAGATATGCAATAAATGCTTTCGCTTCCAATTTCGACAATGAAGCTCGTTATGACAAACAAAATACTCCCAAGAAACAAATACTTTATTAAATAGTATTCATGATGATGTTTTCATTATTTTCCGAAGAATAAAAAGGCAAAGGAAATATTTCATCCAAAACTAAACTTTATTTATATTTTTTATCAAACACCAATTTATTCACAATCTCGTAGTCATTCCAGAAAAAGTTATTTGCGTTGTTTCCCACTCTCCGTTGGGATCTTCAGTTTTCATTGTTTCTTCAATATAGTCAATGTTATCATTATTATCAACTAAGATAACAGTTCGCGTTCTTGTTCCATATCCAACAGACGGAACTACAACGTGAATACTCGAAAAAGGTTCAGCAGTCTCTTTACGACGTGAAATAAGTTCTTCGTCAGGGAAATATTTTCTATCACATTTAAGAATATCCATCAAAGCTTTGATAAAATCTTCTTTTTTGCTGTCTTTATGATTGTCAACAACATTTTTGAATATATCTGAACCAGCAACAACCTTAACGAATGGTTTGACTAGCGGGCTGTTCCCAATCCCTGTGTAACCCAGAGGCAAGATATGATAAGCTTTTGGAATGTTGCTCAAATAAGATGATTTAATGCTATCTGACGTTATTTCAACTGATAAGAAGTTGAAACTACTGAAGTCGTGAGCTTTCTCTAACAGGTTTTTGTTGTAAAGTTCAATGGTGTCATCACTTTCAATAAAATTCGTTACAATTGGACCACGCCCAAGTTTCCCTTGATTTTCCTCTCCTGTTACATTCGCAAGATTTCCAATTTTTATAGTTTCATCTATCGCTGATATACCTAGCCAAGTGCCTCTCACAGCACCGGCTAAATCAATTCCGTAAACAGACTTTCGATCACTTTTGAAATTTAATGTTGCGTTTTGGGTTGATCTTGAATAATACTCGTCACGGTTGTTTATTAGCACCACTTTGTATTTGATGGAAGAATCTCCTGGATTAGTATAAATAAATGTTATGCACATCTTTCTATTCCTTCAACCGAATTATTTATTTCAGAGAACAAACTCCAAAATTATTAGTATTTGTGCGCTACGTTAGAGGCGCTGCTGCGGAGGGGTATAAAATTCAAACTTCTCATTCCCCTCTCACATTTTTTGTTTACATTTTTGAAAATATTCTTAAAGTATGAGCAGTGAATTTTCACAAAAAATTACTGATTCTGAAGAAGATCCAGTAACTTTAATGCTACAAAAAACTGGTTGTATTGAATTGCATTACAAAGTTCAGGTTAGAAGAATAATGAAGTGCACTTTCAATAAGATAATAATAAAATTACATACTAATTATTTTTATCAAGGAGTGTATTGCTGAAACCCAAGATTGGAGAAAGTGTCAAGATATTGTGAAAGAGTTTAAAGATTGTATGCAAATCTATACAGAACAACAACGGAAAAAATACGGCAATTAAAATGTTTTTCACTCAAAAATTAAAGATGGTTCTAATCATAAGAATGGATTTGAAACTTACAAAAGGTAAAACGGCATCACAAGCAGCTCATGCTGCTGTCATGTGCTTTAAAAAAACTCTTGATAAAAATTCATCACTAGCCAATAAATGGATATCTATAGGCCAACCAAAAATAGTTCTTAAAGTTGACTCGCTCTCAGAAATTGAGAAACTCCAAAGTCTGGCAGTTCAGTCGAATGTGACGAATTGCTTAGTGCATGATGCCGGAAGAACTCAGATTTTAGCAGGAACGGCTACGTGCTTAGGTCTTGGTCCTGATTATGATGAGAAAATAGATGCATTAGTTAAAGATTTAAAATTACTTTAAATTTGTAGAAAATTCATTAAAAGAATTAAATAATTAAAAATATAGTTTCGAGATATTCCATAACATGACTTAAAGAGCTTAAAATAATTTAACTTAAGCACAGTTGACTAATAGATTTTTTCTTGGGGTTTACAGGATATGCCGTCAATTTGTTTGCTTGAAGAAATAAATAAAAATGTAAGTAAATGAATATGTGTATTGTTACTTAGATATTTATGATGGAATACCATTGAAAGTAAAAGGAGAAGAAAAAACTCGTGCGTTTTACAATCACTAGTGAGAAAACTTAAACCGCATACATTAAAGCCGTCGAGAAAATACTCACAAAGCGCACAAAGCGTCCTCATTTTAACGTACTCATTCAGTCGCGATCGCTCGTCGTAATTTGTTAGTAAATTCAAGAGCTGCTTCGGAAGTAAAAAGCAACATTTTTGTTTGTGTAATAAAATTGTTTCATTGTTAAGTTAAAATATGGTTATAAATAGAAAACTATTGGTTTATTCTCAAGTTGGTCAAAAAGTTATATTTAGATATTAGAGTTTTTTATATTAGAAGGGAAACATGACATATTCCTAAAATTCATTCAAGGGAAAAGAAAAAAGAGATCAAAGATCACGCTCTATTGACTTGAGAATCATGAATCGAATGAACTAAATATCAACAAAAGATAATGAATTTGTGTTGTTATCGCAGTAGAAATTAAAATGTTTTAACTCTTTTGCGAAAAAATAAGAGAATATGATGAAGTTGTAAGAACAATAAAGAAGAAAATACAAGCTACAAGTAAATAATAAATAGATTTCTTATACTCAACGTGTGTTGATTGTTCGAGTTTTTTTCTTGTAAAAATGTATATTCGCATTTGTAGTGTTTAATTTCTTAGTGAAGCAAGTGGACTTTGTAATATTTACCACAAATGGTTTTTTTGCTCTTAAATCGATGCGGAATTAAAAACCTACATCTCAAGACTTGAGATTCTCAAGGGAATTCAAAAGATAATTCAGACACTTCTGATGTGAATCAATATTTAGATATAAGAATATTTTTTCTAGCTTAACTCGAATTTTTTTTAAATATAAATAGATAGATATGTCAAGACATTTTTCATTTCTTTTACATTCCAGAAATAGATATTTCGTATATAAATAAAGAAAAACAACAATGAACGAGATACATCTTAAGACAAAACTTACAACGAGGGAACGTGTCAGCGCTTATTTTGGTATCGCCTTAGTAGGAGGACTTCTAGCATTGTGGATAGGCAAGAATCTAATACCACAATGTTTGTTAGCTTGCCTTTTGTATTATTGTCTTACGGGCCGTCGACCACAAATATTATGGGCGACAGCACATACATTTAATCGAGACATACTGTAAGTCGTACCTAATAAAACTTTTTTAAAAAAATTATTTAGCACAAGGTTACGGACATTGTCAATTGCATATAATATGATATGATGATTGCATGTGCTTAACTACTTAAAACAATTTGTTTTCATTTACATCTTCTCTAACTACTTACATAAATACATTGTCTGCATGGCATAGCTTCTGCCAATTTACATCACATGTGACTAAGCTTGTATCTACTTTTTTCATTTTCTCTCTTCCTACTTCGCATTGATTCATACAAACATTAAGTAAATTTCAAAAAGATATTTAATAATAAATAAAGTGTTTGTGGGTAACTTGATAATGAATTTACTATGATCTCTAAGTATGAATGACTTACTATGATTTTCAATTGTCAATTGACGATGATCTTGAGCGATTTTATGGGAAACAATTTTATTATTTACAGACATTTTCAAATGTTCGCTTTGCATGCTTAAATAAATTTATATTGTTCGAAATTATTTCCGTGATTTTAGATTAATTTGCTTATTAACTCGACTCTTACATGTTACGTAATAGATAGATGTTTATTTTTGTTTTATCAATTTCACAATTTAATAACTTTATCATGAAAGATAACGAGACATATCTGACTTATAATTTTGATTTGTTTGTTGCACAACTAACATTTATGTAGTTCAGAAATTGAAAAAGAAAGCGATTGGATTAGAAGTGGATTGAAACCCCAATTTGATTCAAGTTTTTGTCAAAAATATCAATCCAGATACGGAGTTTAATGCTTTTTTTTATATATAGATATATAAACTTCATTAACTTTACTTATCAACATTTTTACAACAATTTCAAATTCCTTTTCGAAGCCCACTTCATTAACATTTCTAGTATTTTATTCCATTATCAGGTCAAAAGTGATTGGTTGTTTTTGCCACAATATTAATCAATGTTCAAATGTTTTCTTCCAGTGCGGCTAGACGCTTTATTCACATGTCTGTTCTTTTAAAGTATTGGGAGTCTAAAAACCATTCAGTAGCAAGTCTTTTCAGGCGTAATGTTGAGAAGCATCCAAACAAATCCGCATTTCTGATTGAAGACAAAAAAATAACATTTCAAGAGGTAGTGGAAAAAAACACGAAAAAGAAGAAGAAAAAACATATTAATTATGGATTTACTGTTTACTAACTTACGACCTTTTTTTCTTCTTTGAAAAATACAAACATTTTTTCAGATTGAAGACTTAAGCAACAAGGTCGCAAATTATTTTAAATCTAAAGGATATGAGAAGGAAGATACAATTGCACTTTTGATGGAAACGAGATTGGAGTATTCGTCAATGTGGCTTGGTCTTTCAAAGATTGGCGTTATTACAGCTTTAATTAACACAAACCTCCGAAAAGAAACTCTTATACATTCCATTCGTGTTGCTTCATCAAAAGCAATCATTGTTAGTGTTGAATTACTTGATGCTTTAATTGAAATTGTCAGTGATGACGAAATAGAAAAAATGAACATTTTCATTTTTGATACTGAACGGGAAGAAGTGAAAGCAATAAACAATAAAACACTTAATCTTCATCATGAATTGAAATCTGCCACATCAACACCAGTAAATGTTGATGGGACCTTAGCCAAGGACAAATTATTTTATATTTACACTTCGGGCACAACTGGCATGCCAAAAGCAGCTGTAATTACCAATCTTCGTTTCCAATTTATGGTGTCAGGGACATTTATGATGTTTGGAATGAAATCTGAAGAAGTTATTTATAATACCTTGCCACTTTATCATACAGGTAAATTTTAAATTTATTTATGAGTGTGTAAGAAAATTTAATTATTAAGATTCTTTCAGCGGGCGGAATGTTGGGAGTTGGCCTCGTATTAATTTTTGGTGTAACTATGGCTTTAAGAAAGAAATTTTCTGCTTCAAACTTTTGGAGTGATTGCATTAAATATAAATGTACATCAGCACAATACATTGGAGAACTTTGCCGGTTTCTGTTGTTGACACCATCAAAAGTGGAAGAGACGAAACATAATGTTCGCTTCATGTTCGGTAATGGTCTCAGACCACAAGTTTGGCCACAATTTGTTCAACGTTTTAAAATCGAAGAGATTGGTGAAGTTTATGGTGCAACTGAAAGTAACGCAAATCTTGCAAACTTTTATAATCATCAAGGATCTGTTGGTTTTGTTCCACAAATTGCAAGTTTTCTTTATCCCGTTGATCTTATAAGATGCGATGAAGACACTGGTGAACCATTAAGAAATAAAGATGGTCGCTGTATGAAATGCGAACCAGGTGAACCAGGAGTGTTCATCGGAAAAATCAATCCAAGACATGCTGCACGATCATTTACTGGTTACGCTGATAAAGTAAGATTATCACGAAAAAATTTATTTCATCGTAATTGCAAAGAATTTTCATTTTAGAGTGCATCAGAAAAAAAAGTAATCCGAGATGTTTATAGACAAGGTGATTCGTGGTTTAACTCCGGTGACATTCTGGTTATGGATCTTTTTGGATATTTTTACTTCAAAGATAGAACTGGCGATACTTTCAGATGGCGTGGAGAGAATGTGGCATCAACAGAAGTTGAAGGGATTGTCATGAAAGTTGCACAATTAACTGACTGCGTTGTTTATGGCGTTGATGTAAGTGTTGAAGATTTTCTATTGAATTTTAATGTTGACAATTAAATCGTCTTTAGGTCCCTGAAAATGAAGGAAAAGCTGGAATGGCAGCTATTGTTGATCCAGAAAATAAGTTAGATTTAGTTGCTTTGGCAGCTGGAATAAAAGACAATTTACCTCAATATGCACGTCCAGTGTTTCTAAGAATTATGCCTGAACTTCCTATGACTGGAACGTTTAAATTAAAAAAACGTGATTTGCAATTAGAAGGATTTGACATCACAAAAATTCGAGATCCAATCTATTTGTTGCAAAGTGATGGATCGTATCGAAAGCTAACACAAGAAAAATATGAAGAAATCAAAAATGGATTGGCTAAACTGTGATTGGAAATTTCTATTCATTGAATTGGTTGTTGATGACTTAGTTTAGCATATTGACATTAATTACATTTATATATGATAAGAAGGAGAAAAATGAATTAATTCTTTTTTGATGGTTTTACTCAATAGAATAAAAGATAACTTAAAAATATTTTAAGAGTTTTCCTTTCTTACAACTGGAAGTCAAATGTTATTAATTGTAATCTGAAGATGACGGTTTTAAAGTGTTAAGAATTGGATCATCAATGATAAAATTTGATTCTTTGATGAGCCGAAAATTGTCATTTATCAGTAACTGCCACTTGATATAATTTACCACTTGCGACCATATCAGAGAAAGAATATGGAATTCGATAACTCAAGTTAGTTTTTGAAATTCAAAATGTCTTAATCTAATCTTCGAATTGAATTATTAGATTATTTTTATTGCTGTTAGAAAATATTTTCTTTTTAAAATGTTTTCAGTTCTTCAGTGTGCGTCTGAAAGTGTTGAATGATTATAATTAATACAGAAAAAATAAAATTTAAATATTTATTTAAAGAAAAAAAACTTCAATTTGAAATGTCGCAATTATTTTCGTTATTTAGAGAACGATTGTCACACCGAAGTGTTCTGAAACGTAGAGGCTCTGATTCGACAGTTTCTAGTTCTGTAGCTCATGATATTGCCAAACAAAATGATCTAGGAAACGATGACAATTTAAGTCCATCAACATCATCAACTCCAATGGGTCCTAATAATAAAACAGAAATGAATATTTTCATTAAGGATTCAAAGAACTTAAAGATTGGCGATCAGATCACGCATATATATAATAATTGCTATTCTCAAGTTAAGTTTAATCTCTAAATAAACATTTAAATTGATAAAAATTATCAATGAAATTATAGATTGCAAAAATCCAGCATTTATTTTGAGCGATAAAAACACTGGCGTTACTAAGAAGTTACAATACATTTTGGGCAGACCATGGTGTTGGGGACTGATGTTTTTGATCATGATTATATTAACATTCATTAACACTGTGTTTTTTGTACTAAGTGCCAGACAATCGATTATTCAAAGACGAAGTGATTGGGGTGCACATCCAATGCAAGGAGAATTGGAGCCTTTAAATCTTCCAACATCAAATATCATCATAACACAAACAGATGACGCGGAAAGTTGCTTTACAATAGTAATTCAGAATCAAATGCAAATTTAAATAAAAATATATTAAAGTTAAAAATTTATAATCAGCAAGAATGTAGGGAAAGAGTGAGACATTTACAAGAAACTTATCAGAATAACGAAAGACAAAATATGACTGACATTCCATACAATTATTTGATTGGTGATGATGGATACGTTTACGAAGGCAGAGGTTTTCAATACCAAGGAGAAATTCCAATTAATCCTTCAGCAACTTCATTCAATGAATTGGGATTAATAATTGCATTTATTGGAAATTACGCAAATACTGATCTAAGTTTAACTCAAGTGAATGTTTTTAATACTTTCATTGATCGTTTGATCAATAGTGAAGTATTAATGAAGAGACACAAAATTTTCTCCAACCATCAACTTGTCTTTATTGATGAGATCCCTCAAGGATTACTAAATTTTCTTGAAGGCAGGGAAGATGAATTTTATGAACGTACGTAATTAATGATATGACACTAAGTAAGGTCAAAGACTAAATTTTGACAAATAAACTTGCAGTTCAAAAAGTATCCAACAGAGGATGGTGGAGTGCTCGTGATTCACTAAATACATCAACTTCAATAAGGTTCAATGGACCAGCTGAGAGAATCGTAGCTAGAAAAGTAACGATCACTCCATTGGATTGTAGACATGATGTTAGTTTTGTTTGAGTTTTCATTTTTCTTTTAAGTTTAGCTAAATTATTTTTACTTTCAGGATGAATGTATTGAGAGACTACAAAATCAACAAGCATTTGACATGGATGACAATTCTCGTTCCGATATCGCATATAATTTCTTGATTGGTGAACATGGAGTCTTTGAAGGGCGTGGATGGGATGTCAGACCAGAGGGTTTATTTGTTGATAGTGAATCCATCACAGTTGGAATATTTTCAGAGCATTTGGGAGATGGACCCATGTATCAAAAGTATGTGTCATTGTATCGAGATGGTGTAGTTCTTGGAAAAATTAAAGAAGACGAGGATAACAATAACATCGAATGCTCGGTTGAGCTTTGTCCACCTTAATTTTAAATTTGACATAAAATTTTTAGAAGAATTTTTATTCAAACTGTACGACATGAATTTTGATACACCATAAAGTTAGACAATTAAAGTTTTATTAATGCAATTCAATTTCTTTTCTATTAATAAAATAATTCGAAATAAGAAAAATATGATCATGGCTCGAAAGACTCTTAACGTGAATCAATGATTGTTTCTTAGAAATTTAATTTTGAAACAAAGCAAAAAAAAGTAAAGAAATGTTCAAGCTGTGGCATGTTGGATGATGAATGTAGAAAGTGTTTACGAAAGTTCTTATGAGAATGACTACGAGCGACGTTATTAGAACAGGTGCGAAACAGGATTTCGTATCCAATTTGCCATTAAAAATTTTCTTCGCCATGTGGTGACGCAAAGTTTGAAGCAGGTAATGTGCAAGCAGCAAAAACTTTTTTTGTTGAAATTTTCTTGCTAGAAAACAAAATGGATTTTTTGATTGTTATTCAAGTGGATGTTTTTTATGCTTTTTCTCTTACAATCTTATTGTTTAAATATCTAAAAATATGACATTTGAGTGATGAATATAATCAATGTTTACATTAAGTGCCATACTAAGGTTCAAGCTTTTTTTTTTCATAACTTTATAACTTTTTAGGATACTTCAAATTATTAGTTGCGGAGTTTTGAAGTAAAATATCTCTAAAGGATGAAAAGAAAATAAACTAAAATGAATGTTGCTACAATATATTGCTTTTGTTACTTTTATATTGAGTAGAATGTATGAGATATTGTGGGAAAATTAACAATCTAATTGCATACACCTACACAAAGTAGAAGAGAAAAACAATAAATTTTTCATAAGAAACATAAGAATCATCGCACTTTGGACGTGAAAAGTATGATGAACATGATGGAAGCAACACCGGAATGATTTTAGATATTTCGATGGT